AACAACGGTAATACTGTGAGAAGGCAGTGAGTAAAATTTATCTTTTAGTGATTGTATGCACGTGGCCACTTGAGAGCATTTGGAGAAGGAGAGCTGACTCTCCCTACTCTTGGTCATACCATGCCATTTGGGGGCTTAATTACTTAACAATTATACAATATGAATATATATAATATTAGTCCATAAATAGATCCTAATAGTTACTATTTATTATTGTCATCGGAATATATCAGATTTATTGTCTTAACAATTATGAATGATGAAAAAGAAGATTTACTCATCTGGATCATACATATTAGAGACTGCAAAGAGTTCATCAATAATCGATGTTATACTTTTTCCCATTTATTTATTTTCACTCTTTTTTTTTTGTTACCGATTTGTCTCTGTCAATTAACTAGTTAACATAGTTGTTATTGTTGTTGTTATTTGTCGCCTCATGATTCTCATTGTTAATGTGTGTCCCCCCTCCTTCTTTATACCAAATTGTTGACATTATCATCATTATCTTTTAAATTTATTTCTCAATCATCACCATCATCATTATCATCATCAGTGAATTGTTTCTTTACAAAAAGGAAAATGTATTTCATCATTTACTTTCATCGATTTTTGATTCTTTTTTTATTATTTTCCTTTATCTCTTATTGCCAAGAGACTAAATATGAGCAGGCATACAATAAAAATACATTTTGATTGGATAAATTATGATAAAAGGAATATACATATATGTGTATATGTTTAAGCATAAATCAATACCTTTATCCCTTATCGTTATTTTTTTTATACCATAGAACGATAAATTATTTTCTAGTGAAAAGATAAATTATCCCATCTTTTACTGATCATAACCAAATTGATTTAAATCAAAGAAGGTTTTTTTTTTAAATGGATATTATAATAATTTTTAATAGTTGAATTCATGAGTCAATTGAAGCTAGACCATCATGGGAAATCTGGAAGCACTGGATGGCTGTTTCGTCTTAGCATCGGACTCTTTAGCAATGCACATCCATGATCTCGCCTCGCGAGATTCGAAGCCAGGGCATATCAGTCTCGCGCGCGGTAGCACTTAACCACTAGACCACTGATCCCCGGTATCCAACTGTGTTAATGTCTAACTTCAATCAATCCACGAAGTTGCGCCACCATCCATCTGTTGGGAGCGTTAGATCCCCAGAACTCACTTGGGAAATGACCTAATTTTGTAATTTTATTTAGAAAATTTGAATTTCTTTGTTTTCGTGCCAAAGGCGTTCTTGTTACCTTCATGTCGTATTTCACACTTAGAAATATCTTAAATGCTATTGGTTCGTTGCATCTTTTAGTATGCTATTTGGTAATTCTCCCCAAGGACGGTTTTGCACTATATATATATATGTTTTGAATTGTGTTTGTGTGATCGCTCGTTCCTGGCTGTTTGCAGAATATACTTCCCCATTCCAAGCTTGAACTTCTCTTTCTAGTTATCGGGGCTGGGATGCATCAATAGCTAGCTTACTGGTCTTTGGTCACCGAGTCTTGGTCTCGTTCGCCGATTAAGTGAACTCGTGATCACTTCAAACCTAGCACCATGATTGTCATCAGTGTGATACTATCTCACAACAAACGGTCGTTCAGTGCTTCCAGGTTTTCCATGATGATCTAACTTTAATTGATTCATAAATTCAACTATTAAATGAACGAAATTTGGTTCAAAATATAATTGGTTATTAGTCGGTTTTTATATTTCACTATATTATACTTTATTTATTCGAAGGATCATCACTACTTTCAGTTTTCATTGAAATCCGTTATGCAAGGCTGCACTTATTCTCCTTAGAACTGAATATTGTAGACTGTCTGATTTATGGATCTCATTAAGTTCACTTATTAGTTTGTATGTAGTCTATACAACTTCTGGAAATATATCCATCCATAACCATTATATTGAATTGTTGGAAATCTTTATTCTACAGACTGTTTGTTAATTCATACGATAAATTGACTATTAACTTGTTTACCAGTTACAAATCAATGGATTCGACTTCAAGTTGTACTTCAGTTGTGAAAGCTAATGATAATATCCAGTTGTTTTAGCCAAAGTAGATGAAAAAGGGTTCGAAGATACGCTTAATAGGTGAAAGTCAAACCTCTTAGTTACTGAATTACCACCTAACGCTTAATTAAAAACAATCGGTTTCTTTATTTTAATTGAATGTTAAACAGATAATCTAAAAGAGAAGTTGTTTTGTAGTTTGGTCTTCATTATACGTCATCATTGTTTAATCATTTCTTGACTTCGGCTATCGTTTTACTTTTATGAAAGTTAAGATTTTTTTTACACAAATAAGATAAAAGTTGACAAAATCTCGTCTCTCTTCCGCACAGAAGAATGTCATACTTGATTCATGCTTAAACAAAATCACATCGTTTTTTTTATACACCTAGTACTTTTATTCATTAGCCATTAATCCTTCTAATGCGGCAGTACCAACTTACACATCCACAAGCACTCATATGGTCAGGTTGTTTTGTTTTTTTCTGTGTAACTTTTATTATTGATGTGAGGGAGTTTTAGACAGGTTAACGTTTCATTATGGTATAAAACTTTTTCACACCCTGCAACCACGACCACACTAGGGATCAGACGGACCCCGTACCACGTCTCATTGTGAGCTTAGGCTTTTACACCTTTGAGTAGGAATCCAATGAATTACGTTTCAAGCTACAATCAATTCACGGTATTGCTCAACCTAGCTATCTTATGCCATCGGGCATTGTTAAAACCCTTCTGGTCACGAATTCTTACTAGAACTCAGTAGATTACCTCTTAAAATTAGTCACTAGTACGCATATGTCTAATATTAACATGGGGGTGATGGAAAGATTTCTGTCTAAGTCACGGTTTTGTACTACTGGCTTGTTGGGTTTGGGCTATTTTATCAAAACAGGACGATTGTAAGTGATCTTTGTGTGTGTGTGAGAGAGAGAGGGAGAGAAGGGAGTGATGTGAAAGAATTCTTTTATTTGGAAAGAATTACATTTATTAAATGATACTTACATGAAGTTGGGTTTCGTCGCATAGTAATAACAACATCAAAAACCAGGCACACTTAGTTGATGAGGTTGTAAGTTTTCATAAACTGAGATCGTTGGGCCACATGTTATGTATGCTTGAGCACTGCTTACCACAACGCGCAATGCTGAGTGTTGGGTATTGTTGTAAGAAAGTAAGTAGCGGCCAAATCAAAACATTGCATCAGTTCATAAAATCACTAACTTGTGTTGTGAGCCATCTTGGTAGATGCAGACTACTTGATTGGGGCTCACGCGACCAAGTAACCAATGGTTGGAGACTGTGTATGACATCTCCCCCTTAAACAGTGGGATTAAAATTATTTTATACCTTTCTTTCTACAAGCTAATTCTTTCTTCCTGTGTCATATCCTTATATGCAATCTTTCTTTTATATATTACTACCATTGAAGTGTCTACTTCTATGAACACGAGAGAACCAAGCTGGCTTCAGACCTGGTCGTGGCTGCATCGACCACATATTCATCATTCGTCAGGTTCTAGAACACAGGCATACTTATCGACGTCCGACAATGGTGGTCTTTCTTGACTTAAAAGCAGCATTTGACTCGGTAGACCGCGAGATTCTGTGGCAGTGTCTGTCATTGAAAGGCATACCCCAGAACTACATAAACCTTGTAAGGGCTCTTTACTTGAACACTACTAGTCGAGTGAGAGCTTATGGCGAACTGTCATCTACTTTTGTAACCTCAAGTGGTGTCCGTCAAGGCTGTCCACTCTCCCCATTTCTGTTTAATTTCATCATAGACCTATTGATGGAAATAACATTCTCGTCGACTGAATTCTCGGGTATTGATCTCCATCCAGCAGATCCACTTATTAACTTAGAATACGCAGATGACATAGTCCTGTTTGGTGAAGACGCTGACAAAATGCAGAGTCTTCTGGTAGCACTGAGCAACAATGCCAGAATGTTTGGAATGCGAAACATGGCGATTAAGAGTAGAAGACACCCGTAAGCTACTAGTATTTGACCACATATACCTTAAAAATATTTCTGGCATCTGCTGGGATCACCAGGTAAGTAATAATGAGGTTAGACCCAGGGTATTATTAAATGGTGGTAAATCAGTTGATGAGGTTGTTAATCTTCATCGACTGAGATGGTTGGGCCACGTGTTACGTATGCCTGAACACCGATTACCACGACGCGCAATGCTGAATAGTGTTGGGGATGGTTTGAAGAGAATTAGGGGCGGCCAAACCAAAGCGTGGCATCAGTGCTTGAAGTCACTGACTTGGGGTGTGAGCCATCTTGGTAGATGCAGACTACTTGGTCAGGGTTCACGTGACTATCTTAACGAATGCCTGGAGACTGTGTGTGACTTGGCTGAGAATCGATCAGAATGGAGGAGGTGTATACACTCTTTGTCTTCCCTTAAAGTATGAGATTAAAATCGCTTGTTATCTTTCTTCCTACGAACTAATTCTTTCTTCCTGTACTGTATCCTTATATGCAATTTTTCTCCTATATATTGCCACCTTTGACCTAACCACTCCTATGAATCCGGTGTTCATCTTGCTGTGCTAATGCGGTATGGCAACCTGGAACGATGCACATATGTGTCTGGTCCTACGTTCTAGCTGACTGACTGACTTCTATGAATTTCTTGTTCATCTTATTGTGCTAATGAAGGTGTGACAACCTGGTTCGATGTACATATGTGCCTGGTCTTAGGTTGTAGCTGACTGAATAACTAAAGGTACACTTTAAAACAATTGTTTTATCCTTAAATGGGACTCGTCAGCTATCCACTTTTTATCATTCCTTGACGAAGATCAGCTTGTACTTAAACTAACCTCTTTGAATTCTTCAATTAATAAGTTAACAAGATTAACTATTTATCTGTTATATCATCAAAATGTATACATTTTTCGAAATTTTCATTAATATTCTCTTTTGTTTTTTTATTGAATACTAGGGAATTAATGTCTTTATTAAGACAATTGAAATTTGCTCAAAAATTCGCTTGGTTATCAGGGTAAGTGTAGTAAGCATTGTTTTTCTTGTTGTTGTGTTGTTTGTTTTTACAAACAGCAACAACAACTTGGCATCAGTGTTTGAAGTCAGTAACTTCTAGTCTGAGCCATGTTGTTATATGCAGACTACTTGGGTGGGGTCCACATGACTATCGTAATTATTGGTTGGTAACTCTAGGTGAGATGTCTCGGTTTCGACCACAATCGCGTAGGTTTGTTTACTCTTTTATTTTCCATTAAGCTATGAGATTAAAATTGCTTCATATCTTTCATTCTTGCTGTACTATATCCTCATATGCAAATTCCTTTTTTATGTTACCACCACTGAATTAACTACTTCTGTGAATTTGGTATTCATCTTGCTGTGCTAATGAGGTATGGCAATTTGGACCAATGCCTGGTCTTACGTTGTAGCTGACTGACTGACTGTTTGTTTTTGTTCTTATTTTTTTTTAACCTGTAATTGTTAATATTTTCACTAACTTAGTTACTATCATTGATAATGACACTGATTAACTTCTTAGTATTCCTTTTTGAAAGTATCTTTTTTAATCATTAAGATTGTGTTCCAGAGAAGTATCATTATTTATCCTTGTTTGTTATGTCCCATGAAACGTCAAACATTACATGACAAACTCATCAATCAGAATACCGACTTATATAACCTTGTCCCTGTTCTAGACCAATGATTCATCAAACAGTTATAAGCTTTGACTCAATTCTTAGTCTTTATTGATCCTCCATATAGTAATTTCTCACCTAACCCTGTTCGCTCAATCCAGAATACAAACATCAGCCTTCGCTGCATAAATCGTATATTTCTGACTTAAGTAGTTTATATACAAGTGGATCAGACTTCATCATGCCATAAAATGAAAAAAATATTAATTATATGAGATTAAACCAAAAGTGGCCGTGAGTATAAGAGACTTTAGGGAATAAATTGAGAATAGTAAATCGTATAACTGTTGACAATAGGCCATATAAAAGCTTATATATATTCCTTACTTCTTTGCCAGTGCAACTTATCCACCCAAATGTTTAACTTAATCAATCGTTGAAGCAAATGTGTAAAGTTATAGATTGATCTCGGTTGGCCTACGATTAAAAACAAGGAAATATTGGACAGTTGTTTTGTTCTATTATGGGGCTCATCAACTACTGTGCTAGTCTATAACACCTTTTTCAATTAGAATATAATTGTTATCTCATTAGTGACTTATTTCAGGTTGTTTTTGAAATTTAGAAATCGGAAGTAAATTCGTTTTTATCAATGATATTCAGTTTCTGTTCTATTACATCTCGAATAGATTGAAGCAGAAATTATACCATTGCACAATAACTTAGTAGTTCTAATGGATAAGGGTTCGTTGTGTAACTTGAAACGCCTGAGTTCTCTCGCTGATTGCATCATAAGTGTCTATTACTGTGAAAAATTGTGTATTATGATGAAACAACTCACTCCTCAGTTTTCGGCGATATTTCAATTAAGATGAATACATTTTCTTAATCAAAATATTCTTCACAAAACAATTTGAACTGAATAATTGATATATAATTTACCATTAAAAATTAAAAACATGAACGGGGAACACGTCCCAATTTGGTTTTACAAGGGCGATAAGAAGGCAGTTAGGAGTTCTATACTTGAACACCTCATCGACTGTAATCATTCTACTGATTCATAGTTTGATTTTAAGGTTGTGTATACGATTTGTTCAACTCTACCTAGATTTCTTCGTATCCAACTCCTAAAAATTATTATTATTATTATTATTATTATTATTATTATTATTATTATTATTATTATTATTATTATTATTATTATTATTATTGATGTTTATTTGAACACATAAATACTGGTAGAGAGGGGCACCGGATACATATGCGCCACACAAGTCTCACTTGGTTTGTGTGAGGGCTGTGATACTGTCCGGTCGCCCAAGCCGAAGCAGGTAGTTTTCTTAGGGGGTCACACTGCAAATCTTTGATCTAGACGTCTGATACACAAGGCAGTGGAGCAACGTCAAAAGATGCAGTCACATGGTAGCCGGTAACCAACGATTGGTTCATACGCCATTTGTTCCCTCAAGATACTGGTGCCTATATGCACTATTGGTTTGGAATGAGGGTTTTCCAACTCCTTTAGGTGGACTTTCCATCTCCACCAACCCGGTTAAAGCACTGGACATTCGCTTTTTGTTCTCTCAATTTCGTAAACAACAGTAACGCCACGAGAAGGCAGTTAGTAGAACTTCCCTGGTAGAGGCTATATACGCGTGGTCATGTGAGAGCACTTGGAGAGAGAGAGAGAGCGGACTCTCCCTACTCTCTGCCGCATTTGGGGGCCCCTAAAAAAAAATACTCGAAGCTCTTACCATCCATGAGCGCAAGCCAGAACTATGCGTACTAAAGAAGTGCGTCCTATCGTTATCGTTATCTTGGTCTTTATTATTATAATTATTATTGTTATGGTCATTATTATTGTTATTACTGCATTCGCCCCTCACTTATGTCTCATATTCTTATTATTTTATTCGTAAGTACTCATCCGGTTATAAGTCATCATTATTCGTATTACGTAATCTAGTATTACAATCTTTCTATTATGTGATGTTGGTTATTCGTGTTCACATCTCATGGAACTAGTACTTTAACAAAAAAATTTTATATATATATATATATATATATATATATATATATATATATATGATTGTATAGCTCGCTGAACTTTGTGTTTTTGATTTTTTAATGTCTAAATGGGAATTATCTGTCAATTGAAGAAATACCAGGACCTTATGACAATGAAAGAACTTAATAGGTTCTTATGTTACACTATAAGATCAATAGTTTTACTCAAGATCTGAATCAATAATCACTAACATTTCATCAGAGAACCTGAATACGCTTCATAGTCAATGTATATTCTATAGATCCAATAATATTCGTATAATATTACTTTCTTTTTATTATTATTATTATTGTTGTTCTTATTATTCGTTTAGAGCTTCTGTACTTCCAACAGGATTATCTGCATTGACTAATATCCAATCAAATAAATTAACTAGTAACAATAATAATGATAATAATTTGGATCATCATTGTCAATCTTTAACTAATGGAATAACAAATGAATTATATACAAAAACCGATACATTGAATATAATGAAAGATTCTTCTACTATTAAAACAATGAAACAAGATAAAATCGATCAAATTGATGATCAAAAAGATGTGATGAAGTTAGATACTACTATTATTTCTAATGTTGTTACTACTACTACTACTACTCATGATCATGATGAAGATAAAAAATCGATTAATGGAGGAATTACATTTATAAAACATAATCATTTAAACAATAATTCGATGTTACTTAATGGAGATAATTCTAAATTGAATCAAATGAATGGAAAATTGAATGATATACAAAATGATGATCATATTGATGATGATGTTGTTGTTAATATAAAGAATAGTAAAATTGATAATTCATTTGTTAAACAAAAACAAAATGGACTTGTATATGATAAAACAGACGTTATCATAAATGGTCAAGTGAGTTGTTATTCTTTTTGACTACTATAAAAGCAATAATGTGACCATGTTCAAGATACGATTCTCCCCGCCTTGAAATACAAAATGTTACTTCAGGATTGGGTTGCATCGACACCCGAACTAATGATAAGGAGTGAAATAGTTGAGCGTGTTGACCGCTTCACTTATCTTGGGAGTCTCATCAGTCCTTGTGGTCTGGTGTGTGACGAAATCTCAGCACAAATACAGAAGTCTCGACTAGCTTTTTCCAACTTGCGTCATTTATGGCGTAGACGAGGTATCCATCTACCAACCAAAGGACGAGTTTACTGTGCAGCAGTTCGTTCCGTCCTACTTTATGGCAGCTCAGAGAACAAATCTCCATCAAAAACACAAAGTGCTCAGGTAACGTAATCCTATTGGTTGAGGACTCTGAGAATACAGTTCCTTGAATACCTTGAGTAACAATACAAGTTTGCTTGAGATTCGTTTCTCCCTATCTACATGCAAAATATTAATTTAGGACTGGTGTGTATCCAACACCTAGACAAATGTTGATCACTTCACTTTTCCTAGAATTCTTATCAGCCTTGGTCGCTTGTCTGACGGAATTGACTCAGGAATCGTGGTTGACTCTTGAGACCCAATGTCATTTGTGGCGTTCGCAATTAATCCCAAAGACACATGGTCCGATTTTAGATAAGTCTGGGTGCGCACTGCCGAAGAGTTCCATGGTAGAACTTGTCAGAATTGATAATCAAATAATTATTTAATTATATACTCTGCATAAGAAGAATAAATCATTTTGAACTAATTGACACCATCAAATGTAATCCGTTTTTAATTTCACTAATATGTCAGTTTGTCTCATCTAGGTTGATTGTTTGCTCATTGAGTGAGTAGCCAATAATGTCGTTTTTATGCAGCTCTTCCGTTCTGATCGAATTCTATCTTTATTTATTTTATTTATTTAAACACATAAACATTGATACATGGAGGCACCAGATACTTCCATGGCAGAGGCTGTATACGCGTGGCTGTGTGAGAGCATTTGGAGAGGGAGCGCGGGCCCATCCCACTCTTGGCCATACCAGGACATCAATCCTATCGTAATATAACTATTAGTCTGAATGATTTGACCTCTCGTGTACCATATTAGGATATTATGTATAATGTTTGACCCGCAATAACTTCACTCAGCTTTAAGTTTTTAGACTGTCTTTCAGACCACAATTGACTTCTTGTAAGATTGAGGTGTCTCCATTAATTAGTACCATCCAACCCACGCTGAAGGACTACACAAGCATGACCTTGATCACTTCTAACTGATAAATCAATGATAATGGTTCAGTCCTACAAGGGATTAGTCGTAATTCAAGTAGTTCGGTGTTAACCTCTTAGATTGTAACTGAGTGATGCAAGTTTGAATACCAAAGGGAGCGTCAGTTCCATCTAGATTTCAGGTACACCTTTCTGACGTATGCCAACTAGCATAATACTTAGGTCTAAAATTTCCTGTTGACTACCTCCAACTATTTGTCATTGATAAGTTTGCTTAGAACAATTATTAAATCATTGTGTTCATTCAATGTTGTTTATAAGAGAATTCTTGAATTATTTTCTTTATAGATAAATGATAGTTTTGATGGTAATGAATTACCATTATTTGTGAAAGATAATACAATATTGGATAATGATTCATCAATAAAATCTGATATGAAACTAAATCTGGAAACTATATCTACTACTTATAAACCGGATAATATTAGTTTATCTACCAAGCATACGATTGATATACCTACTACCGTTTGTAGTAATATTCAACCACATTCTCCTGCTGTTAGTAATACATTTACTACACCAACTGTGACAACAGATAATCATCTGAAGTTATTAATGATGAATATGAAAGATTATGTACAAGTATCTAGTTCATTACCGTCTACTCCTATGTCATCGTCTTTTGTACCAGCTAATTTCAATGTTATTCCTACTATTGATAACAATAATAATAATAACGACAAAACGAAATCAGAAAGTGATTTTCAGACAGTAAGTTTTTTAAATAGTTTTTTTTAATACTATGCTTTGCTATTCGGAGTGAAGTGTCAGGCTGAATCTCTCCAGTCCAGTTACTTCAATATAGACAACTAGATGGTAGTATGAATAGTTTTTGAATTATGAATTAGAGCCTAATTTACGAATCTCTACATAGTTGCTGAATCGAATAAATAGAAGTAGGTACTTACTGACCGAAACATCTCAATATTAGCCACTTGGTTACAGGTTGGACACCAATTTCATCTACTTCAACTAGGTGTACAGTTTCCATGCATTAATAAAGCTTACGTTAAACGTGTGATAATGTAAATCTTATACAATTGAATCGTAAAACTAATAAACATTAATAATACTCATATATGTCTGTGTTCAGATCAGTTTCATCATATAGAGAATTGATCTGAAACTTATGATCCACCAAATAGTTAAGGTAAATGAGAGTATATTGTTTTCTGTAACTGTTTATTGTTAATAATACAAATGAAGATACTGTCTTACATCACAACTACAAAAGTTATGTACGATATTTATTCAGAATTGATTCTCTTCATTTATATATTTAAACACGTAAATATTGGTACAAGGAGGCACCAAATAAATCATTCGATTTATGTGAGGGCTAGGATACTGCCCGGCTGCCAAAACCAAAGCAGCTGATTTTCTTTAGAGGGTCACATCCCAAGCCTTTGACCTAAAGGTTTAATCCACGAGGCAGCAGAGCAACTTTAGGGGATGCAGTTTCATGGTCTGGAACCAGGGTTTTCCAACTCCTCTAGGTGGATTCTCCACATCCACCAACCAGGTTGAAGCTACGGACATTCAATTTTCGTGCTTTCAAGTTTGTAAAGAACAGCGATTCCGCGAGAAGTTGGTGAGTAATACTTCCCTGTTAGTTGGTTGTATGCACGTGACCAGTTGAGAGAATTTCTAGAGGGAGAGCTGACTCTCCTCACTCTCAGCCGTGCCAGGGTATATTCCAAATGCAATAATGATTTATTTCGACAGGTTTAGATATTTTTCTGTTAATTTACCTGAAAAGATACCATGTCAAGAGAAATCAATTTATACAAGCCGGTTCCCATGAGAATTCCAAGAAGGTTCTGTTCAACATTCAGTGAATTTATGAGCTGGTGCAACTATTTCTGGTTTAATCCCGTCTAGCTTTCTTGCAACTGACTTTCATACCAACATAATTCACATGTTGAGGTAGACAAGGGTGGGCGGTGGTGGTTAAGGGATACTTAACACGTATCCGAACCATCTTAGTTTGATGAAGAATTACTTGCTCCTAAATTGATTTTTTACATTTGCATAGAAACTTATTAATTAAATATATTTGTCAATTGTTTGACTGACCAAATAGATATTCGATTATCATTTTATGATTAATTTTTATTTTCTGTTTATTTTTATTAATAGACTAAACTATCCGAATTGGAGAAACAAGATATTGCTTATAATAAAGATAATCTTTCTGTTAAGAATTACACATCTCTACCATCAGGTACAAGTACTGCATATCCTTCAGATGTAGTAATAACAACAAAATGTACAACTACCACGGGGACAATAGATTTAATATGCTCTAAATCAACCATCATGGGAAACACACATGCTACTTATCCTATCAGTAGTAGTATCATTACTACTACTTCACCTACTATTGGTTTGTTAACAAAACCAGCACCAATATCTATATCCACTGATATTCATCCAATTGACAGTGATGATATAGAAGTAGATGATATTGTTTATAGTAATATATCAAATGAAGGGAAATCTCATATTAGTGGATCATTACAATTGATACCTCAAAGAAAAGAAAAGAATACGAATAGGAAAAAATTATTTTATCGGTCTAGTTTATCACCTTGTTCAGATATTCATCCATTCCCATCATCGACATCACTTGTAACAGGTTCTTTACCAAAAACAGATGATCAAGAGATATGCAGTAACGATTATCAGAAAATAGCTAGCAGTGTTATTCCACCGTCAACTGTACTAACATCACCAATCACAGATACAGAAACCATTAGAACTACTGCATCAATATCATATCTACCTTCAAATCAGCCTCTGGCATTGCAACCGCATTTAAAGATGGTTTCCAGTATAGAATTGAGTGGTAACTTAAACGGTAATGATAATAATAATAATAATCGATCCCACAACGGCAACTTCTCAAAAGACTCACCACTTGTTTCATCAGTGAAACTACATAGACGTGTACCTGCCCCTACTGTTACTTCGGTTGTTCTTAATAATAGTGATACGATCGCTACTACAATATCGAAAATCGCCACTTCACCCGCTTTAATTTCTTCTGTTGTAAATCCTGCTAAGGCAAATGAGACGAAAATATCACGTTCATCTATGATTGAATTAATAAGTTGTCCTAATAAGGATGTGTCCTACCCAGGTCAAATACTGTCATCGATTCCTCCACCGCTCCCTTCGCTGACATCTTCAACACCACTATCTAAACCACAAGGAAATGTAAGGTTTTACTATATATCGTTTTACCAATGGTTGTTATGCATTATTAATCACTTCTCATTATTAAGCTTTAAACTACAGATTTTCATCTAACATTAAATACTACAGCCTACTTATTCAATTAAGTGTTTCATTCCGCTAGGTAGTATGTACAAGTGTAGTATATTGAGAAATGAATTTCGGACTATATTTTTTTACATCACGGTTTAACTCGAATTAATATTAAAAGGGGTTTTTGTGGATACTATAGTAATTTCAATAGTTGAGATCATGAGTCAATCGAAGCTAAACCACCATGGAAAATCTGGAAGTACTGGACGGCCGTTTCGTCCTGGTATGGGACTCTTCAGTAGAGCGCATGCACGATCCTGCCTCGGGAAATTCGAAGCTAGGACCTATCAGTCTCGCGCTCGTTCGCTTAACTACTAGATCAACTTTTGGGATCCCGGTAGCATGATATAGCTGCTTTGACCTGGAATAGACCTCATAGCATACATTCATGATCCCACGATGTATCGAACCCAGCACGCTAATGTTTTGCGAAAATACTTAACATCACACCATTGACTTTCTGTCCGATGAGTGCACACTAATTAAGTATCTCAAATAAGAATGAAGTAGCTTACTAGTGCTTCCTGATTTTTCCAGTTATCTAACCAAAATTAGTTTGTGAAGTGAAACTTTAGAGTCGGAAATCTCGACAGCAGTTTATAATAATAAAATTATGTTTCATACTTTTCGTAAATAATAATATTGACTAGATTCTATTCAAACTGAAAATGCATCGGTTGCTGCTGATCTTTCCAAATTTATTTCAACAATAGTCAGAGTTGTTAGTTATTGAGGATAGTCAATGATGAGACCAGAAAATCCAAGTCATATATATTATAGTTTGAAGAAAAGGAAGAACTTCGTTTAAACTATAATTGACATTAGATTAACTAATCAATATTATATGTGATGTGCTGACTTTCAGTTGTCGTTCGTTCGAAAATTTTTTGTTGTATGATATTTGTCTTAGATTCCTAAGTATTTCATTCTGGTTGATAAAACGTTTATGACATTATTAATTGTAACTATATTGTAGGCCGAAGTTGCTTTTATAAACCACTGAACTCTTAGATAGTGGGGACAATATAGACTGCCGTGGTATGGCTGAGGGTGGGGAGAGTTCGTTCTCCCTCTCCAAATGCTCTCACATGGACACGTGCATACAACCACTACCAGGGAGGTCCCACTCACTGCATTATCGCGGCATTACTGTTGTTTACAAAATCGGGAGGTCGAAAAGCGAATGTCTGGTGCTTTATCTGGGTTGGTGGATATGGAAGGTCCACCTAGAGGAGTTAGAAAACCCTCATTCCAAACCAATGATGTACATGTGCTCCAGTATCTTGAAGGAACAAATGGCGTATGAACCAATCGTTGGTCATCGGCTACCATGGGACTGCATCTACTGATGTTGCTCCACTGCCTTGTGAATCAGACTTTTAGGTCGAAGGCTCCGGGTGTGGCCTCTTAAGAAAATCACCTTCTTCGGTTTAGGCATCGGGGCAGTATCAGTCAGCTACAACCTAGGACCAGGCACATATATGAATCGGTACAAGTTGTCATACCTCATTAGCAAAACAAGATGAACATCGCATCCATAGAAATAGTTAATTCAGTGGTAGTAATATGCAAAAGAAAGATTGCATATAAGGACATGGTGCAGGAAAAAGGAATTAGTTCGTAGAACGAAAGATGTCGAGCAATTTTAATCTCACGGTTTAAGGGACGACAAAAAGTGTATACACCTACTCCATTCTGATCGGTTCTGAGTCATGACATATACAGTTTCCAACTATTGGTTACCATAGTCACGCAGACCTCAACAATGTAATCTGCATCTACCAACGTGGCTCACACCACACGTTAGTGACTTCAACGACTGATGCTACATTTCGGTTTGGCCGCACTTAACTTTCTTCCAACCATCCCCAACACTAGTCAACATTGCGCGTCGTGGTAATTGGTGTTCAGGTATACGTAACACGTGGCTCAATCATCTCATGCGATGAATATACACAACCTCATTAACTGATTTACCATCATTCCATAATATCCTGTACGTCGAACTTTACTATTACTTAATCGGTGATCCCTGCAGATGCGCGCAATATTTCTAGGGAATATGTGATCAAATACTAGTAGCTTAGGAGTGTTTTGTACCTTTAATGGCTACGTTTCGCAGAATTTATATGTAGATAACTATGGTACATCATTTATTTTGATGATTATTAATGTGTTTATTACATTTTTTTAAATTTTTATTTCAGATGGGTGCTTGTTTTTCATTAGTATTTGAAGGTTGTCCATTGAAGATTAATTCAACTGCAACATGGATTAATCCCGCTAACAATGGTAATAAAAATAATCATTGTATATTTGGTTCAACAAAGGGAGTTCTCTATTGATTGAATTCATTTACAATGGTGTACAATCACGAATATGTACACTTATTGTTTCAGGATGACAACAATCACAATAATGTAATATGGCAGCTCGAACTGATGTACTTGCGTACGTACGTGCGAAGTTCTACGTCGTTACTAACTGACTGAATGATAGTTACATTGATTACAATAATGGTGATAGGAAAATTCTATTAAACATGATAACAATGAGGTAGAATGATATATCACATCTTCTTAACATTACCGTAGCAATAGCCATACATCTTGGAAAACAAGAATTATGTGTTTCAAAGAAATTGGTGTACAACCTCTACTTCTACCATGGTCTTAATGTCTCATCATTTTCTTTCTCACTTTTCTTCCTCCATAGATATCCGCTTCTTCTTCTTATCTTCTCTATAGACCTTTTTACCCTCAACTGGAATGCTTCTGTTTCTATGATCCTCCTGATTACATTTCATTCCATATTCAACATTTTATCTTATCTTGCTGAGCTATCCTTTCCCAATTACAATTTCTTTATTTACCTTCATGATGTATATTCAAGCCCTTAGCAATAAAACTGTTATTAATTTCCCTGATTGTTTATTCTACCTCACCTATTACCATATTTAACGGAATTCGCTTATTACTATTATTATGATTATTATCATCCTGAAACAATAAGTATACATATTTGCGATGGTACTTAATTATTTACTTACTTACTTACACCTGTTTCCCTCGTGGAAGAGCATGGGACGCCCACCAGCACTCTCTCCATCCAACTCTATCCTGGGCAATCTTTCCCAGTTGCTATCCATCCCTTTCATATCTGCTTCCACTTTCGCCTGTAGCTCTTCTAGAGTTACTACCGGTCCACAAGCCCGGGTAAGAGAGAAGGATTGGACATACGGTCGGCAACCCCATCCCGTAGGAAAAAATCTTGCTAAAAATCTCCAATCAGATTCGCGACTGTAGAGCTTTGTAAATGAATTCGCCGAATAGAGAACTCTGCTGAACCAGTTTTTCTTATTTCATGTTTTAATATAACTGATAATATCCCATTTAGTATTAGCGATAGATTTTCAATGTTTTGTAAAACTATAAATTATTCACTACTATACAATTTAAGAATCGTCCCAAAATAGCCAGTCGAGCTAATCATTCACTTTTCCTGTTTATACATAAGTCATTCATATGGCTTATCATTAGCAATGAAAACATGAATTGAATAGATTCACTTGGTGTTGTTTGCTTGTATCTTCCCATTGTTGTTTAGGATTGCAATTGATCAGTCTCTTCTTGGTATATATCCATCCTGTACGGATTGCCTCAATATAGCCTTAATTCAAAAGCATTATAAGCTTGGATGGATGATGACTAGCAGTGGAATCCAGTTTGATGCGCGTTTCGTCCTATTCGGGACTCGTCAGTTGGATGTACCTGTATCGTAGTGATGTCCACTACAGGACTTGAACACACTACCGATCGCTTCAAGCACTATCGTGTTATCCATTTAGCTACGAAACGCGCGTCCAGGATTCCATTGCTAATCACTATTCACCTTTGCTTCTAAAGGTTATGAATTGAGTAGCTTTAAAAACATTAAATCAGTTTAAACATTCAAGCAATTTGATGTACTAAGCATAACAATTTATTCCTAACCTTATTGACTATGAATTTAAATATAGTCCATCGTTAATTGTAATTATTATCATCCTGAAACAATAAGTATACATATTTGCGACTGTACAGCTTTGTAAATGAATTCGCCGCAAAAAAAGAGAACTCTTCCGTGAACCAATCTTTCTTATTTTATATCTTAATTGACATATTCCGTTTAATTAAATATCTAATAAAAAGAAAGACAATAATTGAAATATGATATGTGTATACAAAGAGAGTGAGAGAATGCTTGATTATGGGCATAATGTTATGAGGGTGTATAACCAATAAAGTTTATCATTCGTTTACTTACATAGATCGAAATGTTAAATTATATGACTTTGTAACCATTTCATGGATTCTCATTATCTAGTTTGAACTACCTTTTTTTGTCTGAGTGTTTTTTACACCATCTGTCGAACTGAAGTGTTGTTTTGTAGATTATGTGGGTTGTCTTTTACATTATTGCTCTTCGGCTATCGTTTTGAATACACTTCTCCATGTTTCTGATCATCCCTTATGAAATCGTTGTTCTATAAAGCGCTTACTCTGAAAAAGTAGAGCTTATAATCTGTTAAGAAACAAATCATAGAATTAATCACTACGCTGTCGTTAAACTCATATGTTAATCGATTATCATTGATGATTTTATGCATGATACAATGTGCATTTCTTTGCCTTATTACTTACTTTCGCCTGTTACTCCCAATGGAGCATAAGCCGCCGACCAGCATTCTCCAACCCACTCTGTCCTGGGCCTTCTTTTCCAGTTATACCCAATTACTGTCCACTTTTCGCATGTCTATCTCCGTTTCCCGGCGTAATATGTTTTTTTGGTCTTCCTCTTTTCCTTTGGCCTTGAGGATTCCATGTGAGGACTTGCGTCGATGACGCAGTTGGGTGCTTTCCTCAATGTGTGTCCTATCCACTTCCAGCGCTTCTTCGTGATTTCTTCGTCCGCTGGGATCTGGTATGTTCTCTTCCACAGTACGTTGTTGCTAATAGTGTCCGGCCAACGGATCCGAAGTATTTTGCGTAGACAACTGTTAATAAACACCTGTATTTTCTGGATGATGGATTTCGTAGTTCTCCAGGTTTCCGCCCCATACAGTAGAACTGTCTTGACATTTGTATTGAAAATCCTGACCTTGGTGTTGGTTGACAGTTGCTTTGAGCTCCAGATGTTCCTCAGTTGTAAATATGCTGCTCTTGCTTTGCCGATCCGCGCCTTCACATCTGCATCAGATCCACCGTGTTCATCAATGATGCTACCCAGATATGTAAAGGTTTTTACATCTTCCAAATCTTCTCCGGCAATTGTGATTAGATTGGTGCATGCTGTGTTGTATCGGAGAATCTTGCTTTTCCCTTTGTGTATATTGAGACCTATTGCTGCTGAGGCTGCTGCCACACTGTTCGTCTTCTCCTGCATTTGTTGTTGCGATTGCGATAGGAGGATCAGATCATCTGCGAAGTCTAGATCGTCCAACTGCATCCTAGATGTCCACTGTATCCCGCGTTTCCCTTCAAATGTTGACGTCTTCATGATCCAGTTGATCACCAGGAGAAACAGAAAGTGTGAGAGTAAGCAATCTTTCCTGACACCGGTCTATACCTCGGACGAGTTTGTCAACTGTCCTCTATGCAAGGTTTTGCAGTTTAATTCATCATATGAATTCTGTATGATGTTGACTATCTTCTGAGGCACGCCGTAGTGTCGAAGAAGTGCGTTCGACAGATATTGTAGTACTAGCCGGAGACTTGAATGCTCAGGTCGGGCGTCTAGGCACAGAAGAGAGTCGCTTAGGTGGCCGATGGGGACTCGTTGGTCGCAGGTCAGATAACGGGGACCGTCTACTGCAACTGTGCACAGACCACAACCTGTTTCTGGCTAGCACTAACTTTCGGCACAGTCATCGCCGATGTGCCACCTGGAGTCCTCCCTCTGCATCCCAAGCCTGGACTCAGATTGATCACATCGCGATCAGCTACCGCTGGCGTGGTTGTGTACAAGACTGCCGCTCCTTTTGGAGTACCTATCTGAACTATGATCATGCCCTGGTCTGCGCCAATCCTACCTTACTTTTCAGTGGCCAACGAAGTGACCGTCACCAACGGATTGATGTTAGCAAGTTGGTTGCGATTCTTGTTGCTAGTAAGTATCGAACCGAGCTAGCCTCTAGGCTAGCTACTACTCCACCGAAAAGTATAAATGAGCATTGGTTGCAATTGCATGACGCCGTGAAAATGGCGGCTACAGTCAGTTGTGGGTTTGCGAAACGTCCCGCTTTTAAGCACTGGGTTTCTTCTGGTTCCTTACAACTCATTGAAGCCCGTCTGTCTACTCCGGGTGACTGTGTGTTTGACCACAAACGAAGGAAGTTACGTAAGGAAATCGGGCAAACCTTGCGTAAGAACTGAGAAGCCTGGTGGTTGGAGCGTGCTAATGAGCTGGAAGCAGCAGCCGCATCTGGTAACTACCGGAAGCTCTTCCAACTCATCCGAGCCACTGGCAGCAAGAAGTATGGTGTGAGTGAAACAATCTGTGAGGATGACGGGATGCCAATCACTAACATCCATCGACGTCTTGGACGATGGGCAGAATTTTTCGAAGGGCAGTTCAACTGGCCTGCTGCTCCGGCAACATCGGTCAGACTGTCCTGCCCTCCATGGCCGGTGACGACTGATCCATTAAACGAGGAGGAAGTCCGCAAGGAACTCCAACTCTTGAAGCGTTACAAATCACCTGGCCCAGATGACTTACCTCCGGCTCTTTTTAAAGATGGTGGTGACTTTTTGACTAAGGAACTGATGACGTTGTTTACAAAGGTCTGGGAACTAGAGAGTGTACCAACGTCATGGAATGAGTCGATAGTTGTCCCTATCTTTTAAAAGGGTTCACGTCGTTCCTGCAACAACTATCGGGGGATAAGTTTACTTCCGATTGCGTCCAAGCTATTGGCTTCCGTCATACTTCGTAGGTTGTTCAAAACTCGAGAAAGATTGACTCGCGAGGAGCAGGCTGGGTTTCGTTCTGGTCGAGGATGTATTGATCATATCTTCACCCTCCTCCAAATGTTAGAACATCGCCATTCTTATCAAAGGCCAACGATCGTAGTGTTTCTTGACATCAGGGCTGCCTTCAATTCGTTGGACAGGACTGTTCTCTGGGATTGTCTATTGAAGAAGGGTGTGCCTGAGAAGTTTATTTACATCCTAAAAGCCCTATATAAAAACACCTCAGGCAGAGTGAGGGCATACAACCACCTCTCTCCATTGTTCCATTCGAGTAGTGGGGTTAGGCAGGGTTGCCCAATCTCACCATTCCTCTTCAACTTTGCCATCGATGACATTCTGGAAACAGCTCTGATGAATGTAAGTAATGGTGGTGTGGATCTGTTGCCTGGAGAAAGACTTCTCGACCTTGAGTATACGGACGATATTGTCTTACTGTGCGATAATGCCCAAGGCATGCAATCCGCACTTAATCATTTGGGAATCAGTGTCCGTAGGTATGGTATGTGCTTCGGACCTTCGAAGTGCAAAGTACTTCTACAAGACTGGCAGGATTCCAATTCTGTACTTACCCTGGATGGTGAGCAGATAGAAGTAGCCGAGAAACTCTTGTATCTGGGTAGCTGCATAAGTGCTGGTGGGGGTGTGAGTGATGAGATCAATGCACGTATAGTGAAAGCCAGAGTGGCTTATGCCAATCTGGGCCATCTTTTGCTCCTTGGTGATGTTAGTCTGGCTGTAAAAGGTCGGATCTACAACGCGTCGGTGAGAGCAGTTTTGCTCTATGCTTGTGAAACCTGGTCTCTCCGAGTTGAGAACGTTAGACGACTTTCTGTGTTCGATCATCGTTGTCTCCAAACAATTGCTGACATTCAGTGGCAATACCATGTTAGTAATGCAGAGGTTCGGCATCGTGTGTTCGGGCACAGAGATGATAATTCAATTGGTGTCACCATCTTGAAACACCGACTTCGGTGGCTTGGACATGTTTTAAGAGTTTCGTCCCAGAGTATTCCACGTCGTGCATTATTTGTCGACTCTGGGGCTGGTTGGAAGAAGCGGAGAGGTGGTCAGTGCATGAAATGGTGTCGTGGTATGAAAGAAAGCTGCAAAGGACTGGCTTGTGTCGGTCCTTCACGACTCCCTGGTTGGGGTCCGAGAGATGGTGCTACACAGTGGCTAGAGACGTTATCAGATATGGCTCAGAATAGAAGCCATTGGCGATCCTGCTGTAACCTTCTTTTACTTTCTTCATAAAAAGTGGTTGTGTCTCCCTTACCTGAAAGATTTCTTCCGATTGTACCTTTGCGTCCCCTGTTTACTAGCACATTACCTTACACCAATCTCTTCGTTATTGTTCTCTCTTTTTTTGTGCTCCTTAGCTTCTTTTTTTTCTTTCTTTGTATTCCTCTTCGAATATTCATTGTTCTGTGTGGCGCATATATATTGGCGCTCTCTTGTACCAATATTCATGTGTCCAAATAAATAAATAAATAAATAATAGTGTTGTTCTGTCCACGCTATCAAATGCCTTTTCGTAGTCAATGAAGTTGATGTAGAGTGATGAATTCCATTCAATTGATTGTTCCACAATGATCCGTAGAGTTGCGATTTGGTCTGTACACGATCTATCCTTACGGAATCTTGCTTGTTGGTCACGAAGTTGGGCGTCTACGCAGTCCTTCATCCTGTTTAACAATACCCTGTTGAAGACTTTTCCCGGTATTGAGAGAAGAGTAATGCCTCTGTAGTTATCACACTTGCTGAGATCGCCTTTCTTCGGTATTTTGATCAGAAGTCCTTCTTTCCAGTCTTTTGGTACTTGTTCCTCATCACAAATCTTATTGAAGAGGATGTGGAGTATCCTTGCAGTTGCCGCTACGTCTGCTTTTAGTGCCTCTGATGGAATGTTGTCTGGTCCTGCTGCTTTGCCACTGTTGATTTGTCTGATGGCCATGCTTATCTCTTCAATTGTTGGTGGGCCAACGTTGACTGGGAGGTCCGTGGGTGCTGCTTCGATGTTGGGTGGGTTCAGTGGAGCTGGTCGATTTAAGAGTTCTTTGAAGTGTTCTATCCACCTGTTTTGTTGCTCTTCAATGTTGGTGATTACCTCGCCTTCCTTGTTTTTCACTGGTCGTTCCGGTTTGCGGTGATTTCCAGAGAGTTTCTTTGTCGTGTCATACAGTTGTCTCGTGTTTCCTTCTCTTGCAGCCTTTTCCGCCGTCGTTGCTAAATCTTCCACATATTTACGTTTGTCGGTTCTGATGCTCTTCTTCACTTGTTTGTTTAATTCTGTGTATTCAGCTTGTGCCTTGGCTTTTTCTGCTTTTGTTCGGCTGGTATTGATTACTGCTTTCTTGTTCCTCCTTTCTCGAATCTTATCCAGTGTATCAACAGTGATCCATTTCTTGTGATGGTGCTTCTTGTGACCCAGGACCTCATGACATGTTGAAGTGATTGCCTCTTTGATCCCCTTCCAGTTGCTCTCCACAGTAGTTCCTTCTCCATTGAGTAGATCATGAAAGGCCTGGAACTTGTTGCTGAGGTCTATCTTGAATTTGTTGAGTTTGTTAGTATCCTGAAGAAAGGCCGTATTGAACTTTTGTGATATTGTCCGCCCCGTTGTCCAGTGCTTCTTGAGTTTCAATTTCATCTTGACGACCAGCAAGTAATGATCTGATGCTATATCAGCTCCTCTCTTGGTTCTCACGTCCTTTATAGTCCTCCCGAACATTTTGTTGATGCAAATATGGTCAATTTGGTTTTGCGTGGTGTGATCCAGTGAAGTCCATGTGGTTTTGTGTATGCGTTTATGTGGGAATATGGTGCCGCCTTCTTTGCTTCATAGTTTCACTAAAATAAATATATTCCTGTTAATAGTATAACAAGAAAATAACTTTAATAATTGAATTTATGAGTCATTTGAAGCTAGACCACCGTAGAAAATCTGTGAGTACTAGAAGGTCGTTTCATTTTAGTATGGGACTCCTCATCAATGTGCATCCACGGTCCCGCCCCGCAAGATTCGAACCCAGGACCTATCAGTCTCGCGCACGAACACTTAACCTTTAGACTAATGAGTCGGCATACAACCATCTTAATATCTAACTTCAAACGATCCACGGAATTGCGCCACCATTCACCATTTTCTTAAGTGAGTTACTATCTCACAACAGACCTGGTTGAACTCTACTAGTCACTGCTTCTCACTAGAAATCCAAGAAACAACTCTTGGAGAGTCACTAGTGAGCATATGGTGATTATAATAAGAGGGGGGTGGGGTTTATGGAGATTGTGGCAATTTAATAATTAAATTCATGAGTCAATTGAAGCTAGACCACCATGGAAAAGCTGGAAACTGATAAGTCCAGGGTTCGAATCTTGCGGGGCAAGATCATGGATACACACTGCTGAGGAATCCCATAATAGGATGAAACGGTCGTTCAGTGCCGTTTGAAAAACTCACAGAAAACATCAGTTCTCTCAAAACTGGAGATACACTTTCCTAACGTTACTTAACTATATATCAGTTCATATCAGTTCATAGCTTTGTATAATTGTCTGTATTGTTACATTTTAGAATAACATTTCAGACCAGCCAATAAAATGTTGTTAGTATTTCATTAAGCAATTACAATTTATGGTTTTTACACTTATGTTTAATGATTAGATGTATTACTCAATGTTACTTCCTTGATCTGTCTACCCACTTTTAATGCTGAGGATAACTTGTCTAATTTAGATTAAGCCGTTGACGCGATAGGCTGACCGGCTTATATAAATACTTTTCTAATGATTTATATCTAATGTATACTTCATTTACTTTATATAGGTCAAGTTATCCTATTGGGTACAAATGATGGTATATATTGTTTACAGTTGAAAGGACGTTCTGAGAATTCTTTAGAATTAGTAAGCTGAAATTAATTTAATTTTTATCTTTCATGTTACACTTTAAGAAAGATGATTTTAATTACACATTGTTGATCATCATATTCTTATGGATCAGTGATGATCTAGTCTCATATTAGACAAAAGAAGTTTGTTAAAAATTGTGGATAAAAAAAAAGAAGTATCCTCCTATAAAATCTTTTTATAAGTATACATTTTTATGGAGTACCAGTATGGAGTTGTGCAGAATATATCGGACCACCATCGAAAACGTGGAAGCACTGGATGGCCGTTCTGTCCTTATTGTGGGACTCGTCAGCAGTGCGCATCCACGATTCTGAAGGTGGGATTCGAGCCTTGGGTATTCGATCTTGCGCACTAACGCTTAACCTCTATACCACTGAGCCGACCGACATCCAACGGTGTTCATGTCTAACCTCAACATTAACTATTGATCTTAATTAAGGAAGCATTAAAAATGCCTCTACTGGGATCACCAGGTAAGTAATAGTGAGGTTAGACGCACAGGGTATTAGGGAATGATGGTAAATCAGTTGATGACGTTGTGAATATTCATCGACTGAGATGGTTGGACCACATGTTACATACGCCTGAACACGGATTACCATGACGCGGAATACTGACTAGTGTTGAGGATTGTTGGAAAAAAAGTTAGGAACGGTCAAACCAAAACGTGGCATCAGTTTTTGAAGTCACTAACTTGTGGTGTGAGCCATGTTATAATAGATGCAGACTACTTTGTTGGGGTCCACGTGACTATCATAACCAATGATTGGAGACTGTGTATGACATGTTTCAGAATCTATCAGAATGGTGTAGGTGTATACACTCTTTGTCATCCCTTAAACTGTGAGATTGAAATTACTTTGTGCCAACTTGCACTGATGCATATATATGCCTGGTCTTACGTTGTAGCTGACTGATTGAGTAAAAAACCGAGGAATATATGTGTTAAATATTCCTTTTATGTGTCTGACTCTTCAACAGTGCTCATTTATGACTTCATTAGATATTTAACGCAGGATTTTCCGTTTCGCGACAAGTTGTTAGTGGTTAGATCATTAATTGATCATTAAGTGTACAACTTCCGTATTTTTGGACGACAGTAAGCTGTACGTTGCTTTTAGTGCGTTTATAAGGACATGTTGTTTGTTAATCCTTTTATCTAGTGACTAGCACCGGATTAAATTTACTTCGGTACATTCAGAATTATGAATACTCTTCTCAACTAATGGTAATTAGTCACTTAAACTTACCCTGTGTAACTCAATATATACAATCTGACTAACATAGTAATGTAATAACTGTGTTACTCAACATAAAATGGCTAAAAATTGATCCAGGACTTTCAGTCTTATTTCTGAACCTCAAGGGTGGATATTTAAAAGAACAAGAAAACAATTTCCTGGATCATAAATACGAAATAAGACCTCACTACACAATGAATGGAGAAATAATACTAGTAATTATACAGTTTTTTTGTATACGTAATTCAATGAAACTGTGAAAGAAACTTAGATCAATGGTGTTTTAAATAGTCACATATATACTTATAAATGTTTCTTCAACCTATTCCTGGTTGATTTTTTTTCCCAATAAGCTATTTCCACGTCGTTGTTTATGGTTATCTATTACTCGAGATACTATGATGTCACTATCTGGTCGTCATCCTCAATTATATGCACATAATTTGGTTTCTTTAATGAAATTAAAATCTCAAGGTCATTCAATGAGTGGTGGTAGTGGTTGTACAGTTGGAGGTAGTAGCGGAGTTAGCGGTAGCAATATTAGTGGTCTTGGTGGAGCTGCATCAAAATTTGGCAAATTTGTTAAACTTTTTCCTAAGTAAGTTTCTAAAAAAAAGTTATAGTGGCTAGTTTCTATTTGGGTTCAAAAATTAATGTATGAACTATATGATAAATAGTCATTTATTTATATTGATGTCCGTTTGTTTTTGGACACAGTGATGTGGTGTGAGCTACTTATATCTACATAAGTAGTATATATCTATGTTCAGAAATGGAACGTATTGCAGTAGAAGATCGAGAAACAAGGAACGAGAATGGAAAGCAATTAGTATGAAAATGCAGGAATAATGAAATTTGAGACGGTGGGCTGATATTTGCATAAGAAATAGTTAAGTTTGAGACAACTGACTAGTGAGATGGTGGAGAAGATTTGTAACTCAGGTGGATGATTTTGATGGAGTTTTGTAGATGAAATATTTACTGTATGATTCTTAGATTTGACTAAGATGTTCTGTAATTTTATGTTCAAATATATTCGATTGTCCCCACTGGTGTTATTGTTCACTACAGTACAAGTGTATGTTCATCTATTATTTACTTATGGTTCTGTGTCACAATATTGATTCCTAATAGTTACTGAAATCCATAATAAATGTATTGGTGTCCGAATCTCCAAAACCATGAATATATAATTCAGATAAACCTGTATATCAATGATTATATTACACGGTAATGAAATGAATACTTTTTAGGACTAGTCCTTAGGAGTAATACCATATACTGTGTTGGCAAATACGTCCATCCATAATATACTAATAATTTTGGTAAATTATAGTAGTATAGTAGTAGTATATGGAAAAGCTTTTGACAATTAATAAACCAGATCGGTGAAACTATAATTTATGGACGACCTTTGAGTGACACTGAAGAGACCTTGAGAATGGACATCTACTGATTAGGACTAAATGAGGGTTCTTATTTACAGTTGATAGTTAGGGGTTAGGAACTAGATTTAGGGTTTTTAATCATGAACTGACATGAGTTATGATGCCGAAACTCTATTTAGCCAGATGTATGAATGAATTTCGCGCCGAAATTCGTGACTCGTTATCTTATATCTGATTGTTTCATCTATAAATTATAGTCTAGCCGATTTATTTTATGAAGAGAAATATAAATTAAGATTTATTGTGATAAATATCGTTGGTCCCATAATTATACTGACATAGTTTTAATGCCTATCATGTGGTTTTCTCTTTCCATTTTCCTTGCTTTATTTCATGGTGTATTGTGATTACATCATCAAACAGATATAGTATTTTTGACCTTGGATTATTGGGTGAGAGTTGTATAGATGTATAACTTTTTCATATTCACGATTCTGTATCTGGTTGACAGCTTAGTAATGCCCTTGTACGGCCGAGAGTGGGGAGAGTCCGCTCTCCCTCTCGAAATGCTCTCACACGGCCACGCGTATATAGCCTCTACCAGGGAAGTCCTACTCACTGCCTTCTCGTGGCGGGGGTGTTGTTTGCGAAAATGAGAGGACGAAAAGCGAATGTCCGGCGCTTCAACCGGATTCCAAACCAATGGTACACATGGGCTCCAGTATCCTGGCGGAACAAATGGCGTATGAACCAATTGTTGGTCACCGGCTTCCATGGGACTGCATCTCCTCACGATGCTCCACTGTCTTGTGAATCAGACCTTCAGGTCAAAGGTTCGGGCAGTGGCCTCCTAAGAAAACCACCTGCTTCGGTTTGGGCACCCGGGCAGTATCACAGCCCTCACACATATTGAATGAGATTTGTGTGGCGCATATGTAATTGGTGCCTCTTTGTACCATTATCTATGTGTTGAAATAAAATAAATAAATAAAAATAATTGTGTTAATATTTAAGATTCCCCAAACACCCCGGTACGACCGAGGGTGGGGAGAGTCAACTCTTCCTCTACAAATGCTCTGACATGGACACGTGCATGCAACCACTACCAGGGATGTCCTACTCACTGTTTTTTTACGGCTAGGGTGTTGTTTGCGAAATTGACAGGACGAAAAGCGAATGTCCAGCGCTTTATCCGGGCCGGTGGACACGGAGGATCCACTTAGGGTAGTTGGAAAACCTTGATTTCAAATCAGTAGTGCATATGGTTTCCAGTATCCTGAGGAAACAAACGGCGTATGATCCAATTATTGGTGACCGGCTATCATGAGACTTCATCTCCTGACATTGCTCGACTATCTTATGGATTAGATCTTCAGGTCAAAGTCTTGTGGTGTTCCCCCTATGAAAACCACCTGTTTCGGTTTTTTGGCACCTGGGCAGTATTTCAGAACTCACATAAATCAAGTGACTTGTGTGGCACATATGTATTCTATACCCCTCTGTATCAATATTTCTGTGTTCAAATAAATAAATATCGATAAACTGTAACATCATGTATTAGTGATCGCATATAGATCACACGCGTAAGTGTTCAATTTTAAACAATATATACTGTTTTATAAAGGGCATTTATGCCTTTTAGTTACCTAAATCTAGATATGTTGAGAACCATTTGAACCTTTTATCCATAAATTGATAACTGGATAGTTATGAATGGATCCATTATGTGTATTTCTTTATTGTATCAATCTACTTTATCATTTATTTTATTGATCCCTTCATTTATTTTAATTAGACGATTTTCACCATCGAAAAAAATGCCTGATACAAAAGGATGTTTACGTGCTAATGTTACACGTAATCCATTTAATGGTGCTAAATATTTATGTGCAGCTATGACAAATGAAATATTAATTATGGAATGGTTTAATCCTGTATCATCATTCATTGAAATTAAAAGAGTATGTTAATTATTTTTGAAAGCTTAGATTACTTACTTACTATACTTACGTCTGTTACTCCCAATGGAGCATAGGCCGCCGACCAGCATTCTCCAATCGACTCTGTCCTGGGTCTTCCTTTTTAGTTCCATCCAATTCGTGTTCAGTTTTCTCATGTCTATCTTCATTTCCCGGCGTAATGTGTTTTTTTTATCTTCCTCTTTTCCTTTGGCCTTGAGGATTCCATGTGAGAACTTGCGTCGATGACGCAGTTGGGTGCTTTCCTCAATGTGTGTCCTATCCACTTCCAGCGCTTCTTCGTGATTTCTTCGTCCGCTGGGATCTGGTTTGTTCTCTTCCACAGTAGGTTGTTGCTAATAGTGTCCGGCCAACGGATCCGAAGTATTTTGCGTAGACAACTGTTAATAAACACCTGTATTTTCTGGATGATGGCTTTCGTAGTTCTCCAGGTTTCTGCCCCATATAGTAGAACTGTCTTGACATTTGTATTGAAAGCTTAGATAATTACCTATTCTAACTAACACTGGCTTAATAATAATAATAACATACTTAGTATTCAACTATTTAGATCACATATTGTTGTAACTATATGCCCAGCTAATTATCACATGACTTACTCACCAATCGGAATACTATGCTAAACCGATAACATATCGATAGTCTATAGGTCAAAAAAAGTTTATAATAAGAGGAATATAGATATACATAATCTAGTAACTGAATAGTTATACAATATAATGTTAGTTGATTAATAGTTCTTAGAAGTTACTTACTTACTCCTGTTACTCCTCGTGAAGGAGCATAGACCGCCCCCCAGCATTCTCCATCCAACCCTGTCTTGGGCAATCCTTTCTAGCTCTTTTCAGTTCCTATTGATCCTTTTCATATCTGATTGTATTTCCCGACGCAATGTGTTCTTTGCCCTTCCTCTTGTTCGCTTCCATTCAGGATTTCAAGTTAGGGCTTGACTTGTGATACAGTTTGATGATTTTTGTAATGTATATCCTATCCATTTCCATCGTCTTTTCCTAATTTTCTCTTCAGCAGGAAGCTAGTTTGTTCTCTCCCACAGTACGCTATTCCCGATTGTATACGGCCAATGGATGATGAGTATCTTGCGTAGACAACTAATTATAAGTCCTTGTATCTTCTTGATGATGGTTGTAGTACTTCTCCAATTTTCACCTCCTACAGTAGATCTGTCATGACGTTCGTATTGAAAATTGCGACTTTGATATTGGTTGAAAGTTGTCTTGAGTTGCTTATGTTCTTCAATTGTAGGAAAGCGGTCCTTGCTTTACCAATCCTCGCTTTTACATCTGCATCACATCCTCCTTGTTCATCGATGATGTATCTACACTGATCATGAAAGCCGTACCTCAAACATTTGAATCCAAATCATCTAGCATTGCGTTAGAAAGATTATTATAAATAAGCAATCAGTCTGTACGTTCGAGATATTCATATTCATCGATCATCGAGAAATATCTAGTTTTTGACTACGTATTCATTTGTGCTAATCAAATTCTGTCTATTAAACTTTGTCCGTTCATTGGTTATAGATAGGCATTGTTGCTTACTACGGTTTATGTTAACTCAAGTTAGAGGTGTAAACCTGATATAGTGAGGCAGTCAGAAGTATTCAAATGAGATCACTTGATGACAATCGAAAATGACCTGAAGGACAAACACACACTACTGGCTAAGATATATATATAATATACTATCCGGTAGCGAAATTGACCTTTTCTTCCACTCTTGTATTCTCGTCCAAGTAGTCATTTTAGGGTTTTTAATCGCAGCATGTTGTGTTCCAAATATCAGATCTTAGATATCACTAATCATAACAAAATTATTAAGTAAGTGCTTGGCAAGAGGTCGGAAAGTCTTGGGTTATATCCCTGGTTGATTTTGAATGAATACTGTCGAGGATTTCTATACTGGGATAAACAGCTACTCAATGTTTTATGGTTCACAATAGTTATCTAGCTGAATTCAATCTTTTATGGGAATTTGTAAAATTTAACAATCTTCATAACTTTCCATATTAATAAATCTTACTGAGTAATTACCTACTAATATTTGTATTTGTTTTCACAATTTCTTTTCTATGAACAGATATTTGTTCCTGATATGCCTTCACCTTTATTAAATTTTGATTTACTGATTGTGAAAAATCTTCCTCTACCATTTGTTTGCGTTGGAGTCTATCGACATCATTCTCGTAAAGGTCGAGAAGGTCAACGTTTTCGTTTACATTTGATTGATTTAAATAGTTCTGGACCTAATCCACCACAGATGCCTCCAGTAGTTTCATCTATTCCTCCTCCTATTTCAGTGTCTTCTGTTGCTGCTGCTGTTTCTGTCACTGCAATGGCGTCAACTACTAGCACGACTATTACTACTTCTACAACAACAACAACAACTAATTCTGTATCTCCAAATCATTCCGGTTTATTAGTGGACTCATCTACATCTCCTCACTCTGTAATATCACATTCAGAAAATATTCATGGATTAAATGATTCAGTTGAATTAACGAGTAGTAATAATATTAGGTTGACTAATAAAACACAAGTAGTTCTTAAATCAGATCAAACAAAAGCTGAATTACAACGAAAGAATACTCTATTTTTACGTGAGTTCAATTTTTTTCATCATTCCTAAACTGTAATGATAAAGATAATAACAACAGTGTTGTTTAATTACCAAGTAAATGTTTCTGTATTGCGTTTTTCGTCATACTGGTCAATACTACTACCCGGTTACTCTTACACTTATGTAGGTAGAGAGAGAATCAAACCTATTAACTAGTAGCTGAAAATCAAACTTTAATATTTAAACCATCATTACGATGGATGGATGGATGGATGGATGGATGGATGGATGGATGGATGGATGGATGGATGGATGGATGGATGGATGGATGGATGGATTAACCAGTTCTTTCCTCCAAATGACTTGTTCTAATCTATAATATCTGGAATGATTATTAGTAATCACTGTACTAATAAGATGTGACAACTATGTTAAGTCAGCGTAGAGCTCTTAATCGAAATCTAACTTTGGTAGTAAGTTCTTCAACCAACTCGGTTCTGAACTCTTCTTTCTAGTTTTTTCCACTTGCTATTCATTCTTTTTAATTCCTACTCAAATCTCGGCTTAGTGTGTTGTTTGGATTGCTGCTTTTCCTTTTGCCCTGAGTATTGTCTTCATGTTTTTAGTGAATATTTTAACTTGGATTTGTGTAAGTTATTCTGTGGGAATATTCTATTCATGAGTTCTTCAAAGTTCCTTATCTGCTGTTCTTAAATCTGAGTAATGAACTTGCATTTGTTCTTGACTGGTCGCTCTGGTTTACCATACTTTCCTGCTAGCTTCTTTGTTGTATCATATGGTTGTTTCATAGTTCCCTCTTTTGCAGCTTTTTCCACTGTCCTTGCTAACTCTCACTTATTTTTGCCTGTCAGCTCTAATGCTCTTCTTAACTCTCTTGTTTGCTTCTGTGTAACGGGTCCGGGCCTTAAATTTCTCTGTTCTTGTTTGGCTGTTTTTAATTGCTGTCTTCTCGTTTTTTCTTCCTTGAATCTTGTCCAGGGTTTCCATAGAAATTCATTCCTTGTGATGATGCTTTTTGCGGCCCAGAACCTCCTGATACTTTGAAGTTAGTGCTTATTTGGTCCATTTTCAAATGTCTTTGATAGTAGCTTCTTCTTTCAGTAGATCTTGTAAAGCTTGGAACCTGTTGTTGAGTTTGTCAGTATCTCAAAGAAAGGCTGTTTCTCCTGTTGCAAACTGCTTCTTTAACTTCAGTCTCATCTTGGCCACAACCAGGTAGTGATCTGAAGCTATATCATCTCCTCACGTGTTCGATTGACTTGAATCCTTTAGTGGTCCAGATATGATCTGTCTGGTTCTCCGTGGTGTAATCCAGAGAGACCTATGTAGCTTTGTGTATATGTTTGTGTGAGAATATAGTGCCGCCTATAACCATTTTGTTCGATGCACATAAATGTGGAATTCTACCATCATTCTCGTTTCTTTCTCCCAGTCAGTCCATGTCGTCCCATGATATCTTCATAACCGTTATTTTCCATTTTGACTTTGGCGTTTTGATTTCCCATCAGAATGGTCAGGTCCTTTCTTGGGCGCTCCACTATGTTTGATTGCAGTTTCTCATAAAACTGATCTTTATCGTCGTTGTTGCTATCATTGTTCGGTGCATATCATTGAATAACATTCATTATGATTCCCTCCTTTGTTTTAAAAGATACTTTGATGATCCTGGGTTTATGATATTCCCACCATATAAGTAGTTTATATGCTTCTTTGGACAACATCAGAGCAACTCCCTGAGTGTGCGGAGCATTTTCTTCTTCGTGACCCAAGTACAGCATCGTGAATATATAAACAAGATTAAACTTGTCTTGAACATGCAACGCAATATGATAATTATTAAAACATGACTACAATATTAAATAGTATGCATTAATATAACTAAAAATTACGTATCGATTATTGATGATGAGAGGTTATAACTTTACAACACATCCGTGTAAACTTGAGCTATTCCATTAGGTTGATTGCTTGTAGTAGTAATAATCCATTTCATTGTTCCTAATTTATAATTACATCTAATTTGAATAACATAAGATCTCTAGCTTGTATATGGGTTCATTCTAGTCGATGCTCCTTAATAATAATAAATATTCGAGGAGTTTACTGAGGATCAAACTCGTGTTTCGGTTGAGATATAGGTTTCTCGCTTACCCTACAAAGGACTCCTGTTAACAAAATCCAACCAAGTTCTTAATGGAGTTTTGTTCTCTGAGTTGGATGGTTTAGTCGTGGAGCTTTCATCGTTTTTCTGAACGACATCATCAGCACAAACTTCAGATAAAAGTGAAGCTTTCGAATTTCTCCACATATGGTTCACAGCTTGTCCTGTAGACCTCGACGTTGATTGGTTCTTGTTGACCTTAAACATATCATTGTTTACTTACTTCTCCAAATGGGAGATACACTTGGGCTACAAACCTTCTTCACCATAACAAACAAGTTTCATGAATCTGTGACTAAATTTCATGAGACTAGACCCACCAGTTATCATAAACTTTCCAAATAAGTAACGCGATAGACCCCAATCAATCAGTTCACTCGTTGTCTTTACTATAGTCATTTACCTAGACTGATCTCAATAAACATATTTGTTTTTCAATTGTACTCAACCTACACTTCAATTCGAATAGCCTGTTAGCGTTTCAAATTCTCACATGAATAATATATGAGTTAAAGCATAGTCTCACTAATCTGAGCATGATCTCTATGTACTGTATTAGTTATAAACAAATCCTCCCCTCATTTAACTTTTTTTCTTGTTTTTTTGTCCTCAAAATTCCATTTTCATAATCAATTTTCTTCTACATACATAAATAGCCGAGGATATTCTACCGGTTGTTGAAACTGTACAATTAGAGCATAATACTATATTAATATGCTTTTTAGGTAAGTATTGTTGAAGTCAATAACAGTTCTACTCTATTGAAATTTGAATAGGCAGTAGTAGTAGTATATATGTTCAGTTTTTATAACCTTTTGATCTTGATATTTCTTTTATATATTAGCACCACTGAATTAACTATTTCTATGAATCTAGTGTTTATCTTGTTGTGTTAATGAGGTATGGCAGTTTGGACCGATGCACATATGCGCCTGGTCCTACGTTGTGGCTGACTGGCTATCATTCGGGAATCGATTGTTTTGTGTAGATTTTTTTTTACTGGGAGAATATATCGTCTGTAGAATGCATAGAGATATTATGAGCAGTCGCTTGGTTCCCTACGTTTTATGATTTATTAGTAGTACTTTCCAGTATTGAACATTCCTACATTTCATAGAATGAATAATTAATTAACCTACAGATCATCAATCTTATTGTAATTCTCAACATTGTATTATCAGTTAGTCAGCAACAACGTCGAACTTCGTATGTACATACATCAGTTCAACTTGCCATACCACATTAGCACACAGATACAATTGTTGATTCAAATCCCATAGTGGTAGAGGCAGTAAGAGTATAAGCAGTAGTCGGAAAGACTAGAATTTGTTGTTATTGAATGAGTATAATTCAGTGAAATAAATTTGGAGAGAGAAGAAATAAGGGGAATGAAGAATTCAGAAGATTAGAATTTGGGAGATCACAAAGAGTGGATGCGCCTGCTCCATTGCAAACGATTTTGAGCCATGTGTCATTCAAGGTCTCTAACCATCGGTTGCTATCGTCATGCAGATCTCAACCAGATAGTCTACACCTACCAACATAATAAACCATAATTGGTTTTCTTATGTTGAACTACAACAAATCTCAGCGGATTTGTTGACAGAGCTGATCATAAATATGTACAGTCATTAGATATAAATCACTACCTTTTAAGTTAATACTTCTTTTTTACTATTAGTGGGTTATAGTCTTACTTCCAAGTTTATTTATCTAAAGATGTTGTTGTCGATTTTATTTGAATCTCTGGTTGCCAAACTGACAAGGAAACAGAATATACATTACGAGTGTTTTGACGATCTATTAATCAATGAACTGAGTTGCGCATTCAAACTTGAATATTAACACTGTTCCTTCACACAAACAATAAGGTTCATAGACGATTACAAACCCAAGTATATCTCCAAATAATTCTAGCACTAATCAGGTCTAATCTTCAATTCCATACTTTTCTTTTTAATAGCTATTTTGGCGTAGATTATCATTTGACATTATCTTATTCCATTTTAAACCTATGACCAGGTTAATTTCGATTATTATCATCATGGCCGCTAGTATTAAGAAAATGATTCGGATAAATTATGCACTGTCAACAGTTTCATGAGTTGTTCTAGCTTATTTGTTTTCTGCGTTTTTGATTTAAAAAAAAGGCTAATTTTTATCATAAACTGACACTAATTGGAGAACTGATGTCAAAAATGGGAATCATTGGACAATTTAACAACCGTAAATCTTTATGGCTTTTAGCCTGTAGGTGCATAAAATCATTGCCAGGGAAGTCCTACTCACTGCCTTCTCGTGGCGGGGGTGTCGATTTTTTTTTACGAAACTGAGAAGACGAAAAGTGTATGTCCAGCGCTTTATCCGGAGGATCCACATAGGGTAGTTGGAAAACCCTAATTCCAAACCTATGGTGCACATGGGCTCCAGTATCTTGAAAGAATAAATGGCGTATGAACCAATCGTTGGTGACCGGCTACCATGAGACTGCATCTCCTGACGTCGCTCTACTACCTTGTGGATCAGACCTTTAGGTCGAAGGCTCCGGGTGGTGGCCCTCTAAGTAAACCAACTGCTTCAGTTTGGGCACCCGAGTAGTATCCTAGATTTCACACAAATCGAGTGATTTATGTGGCGCATATCTATTTGGTGCCTTCTTATACCAATATTTATGTATTTAATTAAATAAATGAAAAAAAAGACACTTATTTTAAGTTCTGTTCAATTTGTGATAAACCATGGTCTATTATTTACCATTATCTGTAATTCAGTATTCATCTCAGCTTGGTTAACCTGAATATCCTGACCCTTGATATTCTATAGGTTTGTTGCTGTGTTGACTATTTGAATTATTTCTGACTGGAAGAAAACATCTGTCTTGATGTTTCCATATTTAATGTTTTTGTTGTTGTCTTTGATTTGCCTTCTTTCAATTTCATCATAGATTGTGCTAAAGTTGTCAGCTTGAATGGTCAAATTAAATCCAGTCGTCATCGTGCCACAACTTTAGATTTTAATGGAATCACAGTTGAATCTATTGGTAAGTAGAAATTGGTTAGTATTCCGATTGTGTTTATTACCTTTATTTATTTATTTATTTGAATATATAACTATTGGTACAAAGGGGCACCGAATACAAATGCGCCACACAAATGAAGTGGTTTGTATGTGGGCTGTGATACTACTCGGGTGCCCCAACCGAGACAGGTGGTTTTCTGAGGGGGCCACACTGCAAGCCTTTGAAGTGTGAAAATAGTAAATTAATGGTATGCGCACATATGTCTTTCTGATACAGTAGTGTGTTGGGTGAGACCTTATCTAGGAGCATTAACAACTTTCTCCTGTAGAACGTCTAATTTATAAGTTATTGTTCACTGATTGTCCGTGAGAGATGGTGCTATTTGAATTCAGACTTCTAATTTGCCTAGATATGCCCAGCCTATAATCGGTTCATTTTAGAGTAAAGTAGAATATAATTGAAAATGTACACCCCTAGATTCCAATCAATCGTCTAAAGATAATGAAATCACAGCAGGATTTAAAATTCCTAGCTCCCATCCTTGGTGACATGTATACACCACTGAATAGTCCCGTATCGATTATACCATACTCCCCAGTAATCAGTAGTTCATTAAATTAAATTTAGTTCGTGATGAACACTTGTTAACTATTTGAAAGAAACCTTATGGCAAAACTATTAATTATGCGAATTTAAAACTTGTGCAAATGAATTACTGCTGACTGGTGTATGATTTCAAGTTGATTATTATACGTTTTTCATTGATATCATGGACCGATTGATGTTAGACCACCTTTGGAAACCTGGAAGCACTGGATGGCCGTTTCGTCCTATTGTGGGACTCCTCAGCAGTGCGCATCCACGACCCCGCACACAGGGTCCGAACCCAGGGCCTTCGGTCTCGCGCGCGGACGCTTAACCTACTGGAATACTGAACCGCACCCAATGGTGATAGTGTCCAACATCAACCAATCCACGAAATTGCGCGACCATCTTCCATTGTACTGAGGTAGATACTTGTCTCTACCCGACACGGATTAACTCCACTGGTCACAGCTTCTCACTAGAACTCCGAGAATTCCCTCACGAAACTGGTCACTAGTGAGCACATGTTAATTACTAGTATAGGGGTTATTATAAACATATGTCTGTATGTTATTATTATTTTTATTATTCTACTTTCTATTCTCTTGATCTCACTTATCCATTTATTTATTTTCATAGTATGCCTTCGAGATAGTATTCTTGTATTTCATCCACATGGTCTATTAGGAAAAAGTTTTACTGGAGAGGTCAGTCCATTATTCTTTTTTTTTCTACCTTAGTATATCGATTTGATCATCGGTATTTATGTATTCAGTGTTTGTGTACTTATTTCAGTTTGTAAGTAGTACAGTTATATACTTAAGAAACGAATACAAAAGTTGGATTTTTGATTGAGATCACAAACTGATTGATGTTAGACCACCATTGTAAACCTGGAAATATTGAACGGCCGTTTCGTCCTATTTTGGGACTGCTCAACATTGCGCATCCACTTTCTCGTCCGCGCACGAACACTTAACCTCTAGACCCCTGAGCAGGCATCCAACGGTGTTAATGTCTAACCTCAACCAATCCACGAAATTCCATGACCATCTTCCATTGTGCTGAGGTAGATACCTGTCTCTACCCGAATGATTGACTGAATCTGTGTATTCTTTCATCAAAATTATTTCAGTGATCGATAGAATTAATCTGTATAATATTCTACAAAGATTTATATTACATAAGATAGGCAGGACAAAATTGGGATCGATAAGAACATTTGTAAGTTTATCAACTATACCTTGAAGACTAATTGTATACATCTAAGTGGTAATTGTCCAATACTCTGTTAATTTTTCTTAGGCAGTCTACTTTTCCTCGAATTTAGCGAAGAAAATTTTCTTCGCTATAAAATCAATTACTTAATCTGTACATTCATATTTGTAGTTGTATAATAAGTATATAAGTTTATAGAAGGATAGAAAAGATTACATCATAAAAAGGGATTCGAAAACTCCATTTGTCAAATGAGGTTACATAATAATCAGGGGTTAATGAAGGATAGAAGAATGAAAATAGTTTACGAGTCAGAATTGTTCACTTGATGGGTCATAATCATTATGAAATATTGTCAAAGTCTAACAATAAAATTACAAAACAGTAATTTAAGAAACATATTACAGAAAGGAGTGAGGAAGGATGACAGGTTTCTATGTATCATTTTTGCACACAGTTTTTGTGCTTGAATTGGTGGATTACCAACGCCTCAGCAATGGATCAGTTAGTCAGTCAGTGACAACGTAAAACTTCGTACGTACATACTTACATCAGTTCAACTTGCCATACCACATTAGCACACAGATACAATTGGTGATTTAAATTCCATAGTGGTAGAGACAGTAAGAGTATAAGCAGTAATAGGAAAGATTAGGATTTGAAGTTGTTATTGAATGAGTATAATTCAGTGAAATAAATTTGGAGAGAGAAGAAATAAGGGACATGAAGAATTCGGAAGATTGGAGTTTGGTAGGACACGATGAATGGATGCACCTGCGCCATTGCAAACGATTTTGATCCAGGAGCACTGGATAGGCTTTTTGAATCGACTTCCTTTCGAACTATAGTTTTTTTGATTGTGTAGAATAATTTTAAAGTAATACGTGTTCAGAGTTGATTATATACTCCTGTATTGTACGGGTAATTGTTTTGTATTCTATTTTTAAAAGTCATGCCCGATAGTGTTCTGAAATGATTTTAGAAATTGATTACTTTATTCAACCAATGTAACCTATAGAGAAATTTGAACATTTCACTTATACTTAAAGTTTGTGCTGCTGATAATGTCGTTTAGAGTAATGATGAAAACTCCACGATCAAACCATTCAGCTCAAAGAACAAAACTTCATCGAAATCATCCACCTCAGTTACAAATCTCCTCCACCACCATATGTATATATTGTTTTTCTGTTTTCTTCTTTGTTGAATTGGCTAGGGAACTGATTTCTCTGGTCAATTATTGATATACACATATTATTATTATTATTATTATTATTATTATTATTATTATTATTATTATTATTATTATTCCGTATAACTATAATTTGTACGTACAACAATGTGAACATTTATACATAACTTACTGGTATATTCTAATTGCAATTACAGTTAACTCAAGAAATTAATGATAAAGAAAATATTTATCGATTATTAGGATACAATCGGTTAGTTATTCTTTATTTTATATAATTTCTTTATTTAACTGCATAAAGATTGGTAAAAGGAGGCACTAAATTGATTTACTCCACATAAATCATTCCATTTGTGTAAGGGTTGAGATACTACTATCCGGGTACCCAAACTGAAGCAGGTTGGGTTTTTTTTAGGGGGGGGGGGGCTACACCCGGAACTTTCAACATAAAGGTCGAATCCAGAAGGTAGTGGGGCACTGTTAAAAGATGCAATCCCATGATAGCCAGTGACCAACGATAGGTTTATTATACGCCTTTTTCTTTAAAGATGTCCTAGACAATGTGCACGGTTGGTTTGGAATGATTTGGAATGGTTTTCTTACTCCTCTACGTGGATCCTCCATATCCACTAACCCAGTTGAAGCTCCGGATATTCGCTTATCATGTTTTAAAGGTTGTGAACAACACCACCACCACGGGAATACAGTGAGTAGGACTTTTCCCTGACAGTGATTTTTATACGCGTTTGGAGCATTTAGAGAGGAAGAAGTGACTTTCCACCAGAGCATTTAGTGGTTGGGTTGAATGAGCGATAATTCTATTTCGCACTCATTCACTACATGTGATTACAATTTTGACATGACCATTACGTCTTTGTAGAATTTTAATTCACGTTAAACAACTTTATACTTTGAAATGTATTATTATTATTATTATTGTTAACTTTATTCACTATTATATTTTTGGTGTAGTATAGACTTCTCAGCATGAAGTATTTCATCAAGTTTCCATTTCTTACTTCTTGGTTGATTTTGAATGATTACCAGTTAGAGGTTGACAATTCAATCAATCGACATCTAAATAATATACATCAGTTTCATTACATATTACCAACAATCACAATATCTCTGATTGAACTGTTTTGTTATTTGTATAACGAAAGGTTGTACACTTTTCAGAAAAGCATTTAATTAGTTTATACAATTAACAGACCTACTGATGTGTATGAGAACAAATAAGAAAGCAGATAACTTATTAAAATATCTAGATGACAAGAACAGTTAGTTTAGTTGTTCTAGTAGTAGGCCATCATTGATGTTATCGATTTCGTGCTTGCCATTACCAAAGTTTGACTTGACCATTTTGAATAAATTCAACATTGAGTAGATTGTTATAAATTTTAAAAAAAACCCTAATATATTTGTACATATCCCAATAATTAGAAAAATTAAACTTTATGACGTTTCGTCACTTAATGTAAGTCACTTCTTCAGAAAATAATTAACTAACTAATTGATTGACATCAATTTGATGATTAGATCAGTTGATATCATTCTACTGTTTTTAATGAAATGTTTTTATTTTTATTTTATTCATAGAAATATTATTGTTGAAAGCCGACCAGCTAATAATCCAATGTCTAATTCTAATGTATACATTTTATCTGATAATATGGAGAATATTTAATATACATATGTCAATGTAAAACTCTTATTATAGATGTGGTGTAATCAAACTAAATTAAAGGGAAAAAGGGAACGAATCATTCATATATCTACATATACTTTTTATTTCTTCTTCTTTTTTTCTATACACATTTATAAACAAACATTCTGTGTGTGTGTAAGTGTAAGATGCCTACTAGATTTCTTCATATTCTTTCCGGTCTCTTCAACCTTTTTTCTTTCTTTTTTTTGAATTTTTTTTCACAAATCAAGTGCTTTATATATACATATATATATAGCTGTCTACTTACCTGCAACTTATTGTTCATTATGTAATTCTCTTTTTCGTAAATTGTTCAATATTACTTAGATAATTCCAATTTATAATATACTTTTAACGCACATACATACAAACGAATAATACTGTTACTATCTTGATTGGATAAAGCATTTGTTCTTAGCTTTAAAGTATTGCTTCTGTTCTTCATCGATTCCAGAAATAATAATAATGATAATAATTCATGTATAAAATAGTTGCTATGGGTAACATTTTCAAAATCCTTATCCTCATTTATGCACAGTTCAATTTTGTTTGTCAAATTAGTTTTCAACTACTAATAAGTAGTATAAATTTAAATATATAAAAAAATGCCCAATTCCTCATGATGCGAGATAGTAAACATGATGTTTGTCATATTCTTTCTTATCTGTTCAATATGCATAGAAGTTATTTGGCTTTTTTTTAATAAATTTGATTATTTGATCAGATTATACGATTACACAATTGAAGCCATAATAATATTCATTTGATATAAGTTAACTCATAATGCCGTTGTGATCTTATTTATCAATTCTCTTCTATAGGGTATAAATAATTTCTGAATATATATAGTCTGTGTTTATGAATTAGTCTGTATATTCTTTCATTAGTTTTGATTATCTCCTTTGTTTTTCTTATTGGCTGTCTATTTGTCAATTCAAGTCTAGACAAATGATTCAAACATACAATGTATACATGTGATAGCCTTATCTTCCCCCCCCCCTCTTTCTTTGTTTCTTTATCTTTGTTTTTTTTTTATTATTTGCCATTTTAACTGTAGTTCTCTTTTTTTACTTTCTCTTTTTTTGTTTTTGCAAATGTTGTCTTAGGCTAATGTGTAATGTGTTGTATTTGTACTTCTATATTAGCTTTATAATCATTACATAATGATAATATTGTTGTATATGATATGATAAATACATTATATTATGTAATATTCCTCATTTAAGATTTCTTCAATTCTATATTATTGTAATTATACATATATTTATTTATTACTTCTATCTTTTGTTTGTTTCTATTGAACATAAGAATACATCGTATTGTTATTTGATAATGAAACTTAGTAACTATAATTCATTGTAAACATTATCTTCTTATTGTTTCTTTATCTTTCAATATACACTATGAGATTATTTATTAATCGTGTTGTTTTAATAGATCCTCTTTCTTTTTTCTGTTTGCTCTTTTTTTTTTAAAAAAAAACGAGGTAAATGATTCTTCTTTTTTTTTTAAACGGTTTTTATATTAAGTAGTATCATTGTCTTTTTATTAATTATTGTGTTGCTATCACTGTTGTTGTTACTGCTGAATATAATATATAGATATGTATAATTGATCATAATCAATCTCTCTCTCTCTCTTTCATATTACAATGATTGTAAACTGTTATGACGTGGATCGATCTGTTTATTATATAATAAATATTAATCGGGAACCGAACTATAGAAGGGGATTCATTGGAATAGTTGATAGTGTTTAATATCTAATAGTTGTCAATAAAAGAGGCAATGCATATATGATCATTCCTTGATTAGTCTCTCTCTCTCTCTCCAAGGGTTCATATTGCATTAACATAATCAGTTATGCAATCACATTTATCTTGTTATTGTTTATTATATTAATTCTAATGAATGTTCTCTCTTATTAACAATTCGATATAATATAGTTTTGTTTTATTTCTATTTTGAAATATATCTTGACAATTACTTCACTTTCTCTCTCTTTCTGTCTCTCTTTTCACAATCAAGGTCTCTGGCCTGCATGATATTTATTTTTACACGCAAGTGCACGCGTATGTGTGTGCGTGTGTATGCAACTCGTCATTGTTTCTCTCTTTATTTGTTTATTCTTGTACTTGTTTTGATGTATAAATATATGCATAGTGATATATGTAATTTATTCCTATTTGTCTATCTATACTACGATAAAGTTATCTCATCCATTCTTTGTTTTGTTCTTCTTTTATTTTTCTTTATGCTATTGTTGTTGTTGTTGCTAAGGGATCATATTCTGACACATGTATACACAGGTATGTCATTATACATGAGGAAAATGAAGAAAAAAGAAAAAAAGTAAGCGAAAAAAGAGGAATTAGCACACATCAATCATGTTTTATGATAAATAAATTGAAACTTTGAATTTATAATGTTTGTTTTGTTTTCTTGTTTCTAGATTATCATTGGTATGTTTTGTTTGGTGATTAGTTAATGCTTATTTTTTGATTGAGATCTTGAACCAATTGATGTTAGACCATCACAATTGAAAACCTGGAAGCACTGGACGGCTGTTTCGTCCTATTGTGTGACTCCTCAGGAGTGCGCATCCACGATCCCGCGAGCGGGATTCGAACCCAGGGCCTTCGGTCTCGCGCGCCAACGCTTAACCAACTGGACCACTGAGGAGTCCCACAATAGGACGAAACGGCCGTCCAGTGCTTCCAGGTTTTCAATTGTGATGGTCTAACATCAATTGGTTCAAGATCTCAATCAAAAACTTAATAATCTCCACAACCCCTATACTATTAATGCTTATTGTTTGCTTTCGCTCTTTCTCCCCCACCCTCTTTCTCTCTTTTCTCTTTCTTCTAATTATCTCTAGTAAGTGTTATGTAATTCAAGTTGATTTATCTTAGAAATTAGTGAATATTGTTTGCTTGTTTGTTTTTGAAAATATTTCCATGATTCAATCGGTTGTATAATATAATTTTAAAGGATAATTCAGTATAACTAAGTGTATATATAGATATTTTGGATTAGTTGAAGTTACACATTAACACAATTGGATGCCGGCTCAATGATTTAGTGGTTAAACGTTCGCGCGCAAGATTGATACGTCTAAGGTTCAAATCTCACGAGGCATGAACGTGGATGCGCACTGCTGAGGAGTTCCACAATAGGATGAAATTGATCATCCAGTGCTTCCAGGTTTTCCATGATGGTCTAGCTTCGATTGAATCATGATTTCAACTATTGATATATATATATATATATATATATATATATATATATATATATATATATATATATATATATATATATATAGTAGACATACAGATAGTCATGCTGCAAATGTCTGGCAGTTGTTAAGTAGTTATTCGAATCAGTAGCAAATTAAAGGCTTAATAACTAGCTACCTGAATATTTAGCTTTATATCGGTTCAAATTAGACTACAAAAAGACCAGTGATGGTGTAGTGTATCCTACTGATGTCGATAGATATAAGTAGTATATATCACTCATCAGTTGAAACTGAGATGTTTGGTGGTAGAGGGTTAAGAAGATATAGGAGAACAGAATGAGAACAAATATTGATTGGTACAGAAACGAAGGAACAACAAAGTCTAAAACGAGTGATGAATATTTTGCAATTGAAGTATTTACTGTATGGTTCTAATTTTGTGTTCGGATATATATTTGATTGTGCCCACCTGTGATATTTCATCGTATGATTTCAAATTCGTATGCGTGTCAGTCAAGGTTGCTTACTCTCATCCTTTCTCTCTCTCTCTCTTGGTGATCGACTGGATCATGAAAACTTCAACAATTGGGGGGAACCATGGGATACAGTGGACATCTAGGATGCAGCTGAATAATCTAGACTTCGCAGATGATCTAGCTCTTCTATCGCATACGCAACAACAAATGCAGGAGAAGACGACCAGTGTAACAGCAACCTCAACAGCAGTAGGTCTCAACATACACAAAGGGAAAAGCAAGATTCTCTGATACAACACAATATGCAACAATCGAATTGCACCTGACGGAGAAGATTTGGAAGATGTAAAAACCTTTACATATCTGGGCAGCATCATTGATGAACAGGGTGGATCTGATGCAGATATGAAGCGCGGATCGGTAAAGCAAGAGCAGCATATTTACAACTGAAGAACATCTGGAACTCAAAACAACTGTCAACCAACACCAAGGTCAGGATTTTCAATACAAATGTCAAGAAAGTTCTACTGTATGTGGCAGAAACCTGGAGAACTACGAAAGCCATCATCCAGAACATATAAGTGTTTATTAACAAATGTCTACGCAAAAGACTTCAGATCCGTTGGCCGGACATTATTAGCAACAACCTACTGTGAGAGAACAAACCAGATCCCAGCAGAGAAAGAAATCAAGAAGAAGCACTGGAAGTGGATAGGACACACATTGAGGCCTGAACACCGATTACCATGACGCGCAATGCTGAATAGTGTTTGAGATGGTTGGAAGAAAGTTAGTGGCGGCCAAACCTAAATGTGGCATCAGTGATTGAAGTCAATAACTTGTGGTGTGAGCCATGTTGGTAGATGCAGACTATTTGGTTGGGGTCCACGTGACTATCGTAACTAATGGTTTGAAACTGTGTGTGACATGGCTTAGAATTGATCACAATTGCGTAGGTGTATGCACTCTTTGTCTTCCTTTAAACTATGAGATTTAAGTCGCTTGATATCTTTCTTTCTATGAACTAATTCTTTTTTCCTGTACTATATCCTTATGTGCAATCTTTCTTTTATATATTACTACTATTGAATTAACTACTATGAGTTTGATGTTCATCTTGTTGTGCTAATGAGTGAAATATGGCAACTTGGACCGATGCATGTATGTGCCTGGTCCTATGTTGTAGCTTACTGACTGACTGAAATCTGTATCGAAATATCCTTTAATTGTTTATGGAAGCATCGTAATTTTTATTAGGAGTTTGATGAATTGCAAATGAACAACCTTATGGTCCTTAACAATTTTTAAAAACGAACTTTTTGGTGATTGATCGCAATCAGATAACAGTTTACTTACTATCTGTCTATCATCTATTAAAGGTGTTTCTCAAGCATTGTTCTTCAGTGATGAACTCACTAAAACAAATAGTGCCAAAGAAGAAGTTTATCTAGAAATAGTAGTTTGATGCCTAAAGTTAAGGGTGGTCGAGTCATAGTATACATAGAGTTAACCACTGTCAAATTGTAAGAAACGGAAGACCAAACATATCATCAATCAATGAAATAATTGTTAGTAGGAACGTGATTAAGTATAGACTTTGAAGTTGGAGTCCATAATATAATATACTTTTATATGATGAGAATGTGATCCATCTGATTCATTTGACTCAATACATGAATTACAAAACTATAATGCATCATTAGTAAATTAAAGTGTATCAAAATAAGGCATTTATGGACGAACCAATTAGAACCATTTGAGGCATTTTAAGGTCACAGTGCCTATTTCAGTACCTGATGCTCATGTACGATCGGTTCACGGTGGATTTTAGAGAAGACGTTAAAATTGTATAGCTATAACAAATGGAACTACTAAGAAGTTCTTTTTATTTGTGATTGTGTTAATCAAATAACTTGTACAAACTATCGTGTCATTGTCTCTCGATGTAATATATGTTGGAGGAATTCTGCTAGAATAGGAACTTTCTTCACTCAATCCAGATCTAGACTAAGGCAAATTATGAAAGTTATTGCACACTGGGTAATAAAAGCACCAGTAACACTGGCTGCGACATATACAGATGTTTTTGAAGCTTTAGTTGTTTAGTGGTGAGTATTGTAAAGATATATGCGCAGTAAAAATGACAAGCTGACACGAGTCGTTCAGGGGAGTCGGGAGAATCGTTTGGATAAACGAAAAAGTTGTTAGAAAACGAAAATAAGTAGCACTTCCATAAGTATACTTCACTGGTCCTTGTAATATACAACAGATCTCAAAAAGGACACTTCCAACGGGTTAGAAACCAACAGGTTACAACGATTATACCAATTATACGAGAATATGAGATGTCGAGTATTATAATATATACATAGGCTTAGTTATGTTCATCGTTTCATCGTCCACAAGCGGCATTTTGTGGCCCCAGCCACTGGAATGGACACAAACAATATTGAACATTTGTAGTCGAGGCTGAAGGAGTTTTTGCGAGCTTATCATGGCTCTAGAGATCGACTACTATGGAGCCATATGGATGAGTATATCTAACGTATACCTTACGGTTTCAAAACTGCTAAGCCTCTTTCTAGCCTCAAAAAGATTTTAAACCATATGAAAGAAGCGTATCCACTCTAATTCTTTGGTTTTGTGAAACATATTTTTACTCTATACCGACTGTTGCCTGATTGGCTAATATTTCTCAAGATCATTCAACCGGGTTTGTTGTGAGATAGTAACTCACATTTATCTTGTTATTGTTTATTATATTAATTCTAATGAATGTTCTCTCTTATTAACAATTCGATATAATATAGTTTTGTTTTATTTCTATTTTGAAATATATCTTGACAATTACTTCACTTTCTCTCTCTTTCTGTCTCTCTTTTCACAATCAAGTTCTCTGGCCTGCATGATATTTATTTTACACGCAAGTGCACGCGTATGTGTGTGCGTGTGTATGCAACTCGTCATTGTTTCTCTCTTTATTTGTTTATTCTTGTACTTGTTTTGATGTATAAATATATGCATAGTGATATATGTAATTTATTCCTATTTGTCTATCTATACTACGATAAAGTTATCTCATCCATTCTTTGTTTTGTTCTTCTTTATTTTTCTTTATGCTATTGTTGTTGTTGTTGCTAAGGGATCATATTCTGACACATGTATACACAGGTATGTCATTATACATGAGGAAAATGAAGAAAAAAGAAAAAAAGTAAGCGAAAAAAGAGGAATTAGCACACATCAATCATGTTTTATGATAAATAAATTGAAACTTTGAATTTATAATGTTTGTTTTGTTTTCTTGTTTCTAGATTATCATTGGTATGTTTTGTTTGGTGATTAGTTAATGCTTATTTTTTGATTGAGATCTTGAACCAATTGATGTTAGACCATCACAATTGAAAACCTGGAAGCACTGGACGGCTGTTTCGTCCTATTGTGTGACTCCTCAGCAGTGCGCATCCACGATCCCGCGAGCGGGATTCGAACCCAGGGCCTTCGGTCTCGCGCGCCAACGCTTAACCAACTGGACCACTGAGGAGTCCCACAATAGGACGAAACGGCCGTCCAGTGCTTCCAGGTTTTCAATTGTGATGGTCTAACATCAATTGGTTCAAGATCTCAATCAAAAACTTAATAATCTCCACAACCCCTATACTATTAATGCTTATTGTTTGCTTTCGCTCTTTCTCCCCCACCCTCTTTCTCTCTTTTCTCTTTCTTCTAATTATCTCTAGTAAGTGTTATGTAATTCAAGTTGATTTATCTTAGAAATTAGTGAATATTGTTTGCTTGTTTGTTTTTGAAAATATTTCCATGATTCAATCGGTTGTATAATATAATTTTAAAGGATAATTCAGTATAACTAAGTGTATATATAGATATTTTGGATTAGTTGAAGTTACACATTAACACAATTGGATGCCGGCTCAATGATTTAGTGGTTAAACGTTCGCGCGCAAGATTGATACGTCTAAGGTTCAAATCTCACGAGGCATGAACGTGGATGCGCACTGCTGAGGAGTTCCACAATAGGATGAAATTGATCATCCAGTGCTTCCAGGTTTTCCATGATGGTCTAGCTTCGATTGAATCATGATTTCAACTATTGATATATATATATATATATATATATATATATATATATATATATATATATATATATATATATAAGTAGACATACAGATAGTCATGCTGCAAATGTCTGGCAGTTGTTAAGTAGTTATTCGAATCAGTAGCAAATTAAAGGCTTAATAACTAGCTACCTGAATATTTAGCTTTATATCGGTTCAAATTAGACTACAAAAAGACCAGTGATGGTGTAGTGTATCCTACTGATGTCGATAGATATAAGTAGTATATATCACTCATCAGTTGAAACTGAGATGTTTGGTGGTAGAGGGTTAAGAAGATATAGGAGAACAGAATGAGAACAAATATTGATTGGTACAGAAACGAAGGAACAACAAAGTCTAAAACGAGTGATGAATATTTTGCAATTGAAGTATTTACTGTATGGTTCTAATTTTGTGTTCGGATATATATTTGATTGTGCCCACCTGTGATATTTCATCGTATGATTTCAAATTCGTATGCGTGTCAGTCAAGGTTGCTTACTCTCATCCTTTCTCTCTCTCTCTCTTGGTGATCGACTGGATCATGAAAACTTCAACAATTGGGGGGAACCATGGGATACAGTGGACATCTAGGATGCAGCTGAATAATCTAGACTTCGCAGATGATCTAGCTCTTCTATCGCATACGCAACAACAAATGCAGGAGAAGACGACCAGTGTAACAGCAACCTCAACAGCAGTAGGTCTCAACATACACAAAGGGAAAAGCAAGATTCTCTGATACAACACAATATGCAACAATCGAATTGCACCTGACGGAGAAGATTTGGAAGATGTAAAAACCTTTACATATCTGGGCAGCATCATTGATGAACAGGGTGGATCTGATGCAGATATGAAGCGCGGATCGGTAAAGCAAGAGCAGCATATTTACAACTGAAGAACATCTGGAACTCAAAACAACTGTCAACCAACACCAAGGTCAGGATTTTCAATACAAATGTCAAGAAAGTTCTACTGTATGGGGCAGAAACCTGGAGAACTACGAAAGCCATCATCCAGAACATACAAGTGTTTATTAACAAATGTCTGCGCAAAAGACTTCAGATCCGTTGGCCGGACATTATTAGCAACAACCTACTGTGAGAGAACAAACCAGATCCCAGCAGAGAAAGAAATCAAGAAGAAGCACTGGAAGTGGATAGGACACACATTGAGGCCTGAACACCGATTACCATGACGCGCAATGCTGAATAGTGTTTGAGATGGTTGGAAGAAAGTTAGTGGCGGCCAAACCTAAATGTGGCATCAGTGATTGAAGTCAATAACTTGTGGTGTGAGCCATGTTGGTAGATGCAGACTATTTGGTTGGGGTCCACGTGACTATCGTAACTAATGGTTTGAAACTGTGTGTGACATGGCTTAGAATTGATCACAATTGCGTAGGTGTATGCACTCTTTGTCTTCCTTTAAACTATGAGATTTAAGTCGCTTGATATCTTTCTTTCTATGAACTAATTCTTTTTTCCTGTACTATATCCTTATGTGCAATCTTTCTTTTATATATTACTACTATTGAATTAACTACTATGAGTTTGATGTTCATCTTGTTGTGCTAATGAGTGAAATATGGCAACTTGGACCGATGCATGTATGTGCCTGGTCCTATGTTGTAGCTTACTGACTGACTGAAATCTGTATCGAAATATCCTTTAATTGTTTATGGAAGCATCGTAATTTTTATTAGGAGTTTGATGAATTGCAAATGAACAACCTTATGGTCCTTAACAATTTTTAAAAACGAACTTTTTGGTGATTGATCGCAATCAGATAACAGTTTACTTACTATCTGTCTATCATCTATTAAAGGTGTTTCTCAAGCATTGTTCTTCAGTGATGAACTCACTAAAACAAATAGTGCCAAAGAAGAAGTTTATCTAGAAATAGTAGTTTGATGCCTAAAGTTAAGGGTGGTCGAGTCATAGTATACATAGAGTTAACCACTGTCAAATTGTAAGAAACGGAAGACCAAACATATCATCAATCAATGAAATAATTGTTAGTAGGAACGTGATTAAGTATAGACTTTGAAGTTGGAGTCCATAATATAATATACTTTTATATGATGAGAATGTGATCCATCTGATTCATTTGACTCAATACATGAATTACAAAACTATAATGCATCATTAGTAAATTAAAGTGTATCAAAATAAGGCATTTATGGACGAACCAATTAGAACCATTTGAGGCATTTTAAGGTCACAGTGCCTATTTCAGTACCTGATGCTCATGTACGATCGGTTCACGGTGGATTTTAGAGAAGACGTTAAAATTGTATAGCTATAACAAATGGAACTACTAAGAAGTTCTTTTTATTTGTGATTGTGTTAATCAAATAACTTGTACAAACTATCGTGTCATTGTCTCTCGATGTAATATATGTTGGAGGAATTCTGCTAGAATAGGAACTTTCTTCACTCAATCCAGATCTAGACTAAGGCAAATTATGAAAGTTATTGCACACTGGGTAATAAAAGCACCAGTAACACTGGCTGCGACATATACAGATGTTTTTGAAGCTTTAGTTGTTTAGTGGTGAGTATTGTAAAGATATATGCGCAGTAAAAATGACAAGCTGACACGAGTCGTTCAGGGGAGTCGGGAGAATCGTTTGGATAAACGAAAAAGTTGTTAGAAAACGAAAATAAGTAGCACTTCCATAAGTATACTTCACTGGTCCTTGTAATATACAACAGATCTCAAAAAGGACACTTCCAACGGGTTAGAAACCAACAGGTTACAACGATTATACCAATTATACGAGAATATGAGATGTCGAGTATTATAATATATACATAGGCTTAGTTATGTTCATCGTTTCATCGTCCACAAGCGGCATTTTGTGGACCCAGCCACTGGAATGGACACAAACAATATTGAACATTTGTAGTCGAGGCTGAAGGAGTTTTTGCGAGCTTATCATGGCTCTAGAGATCGACTACTATGGAGCCATATGGATGAGTATATCTAACGTATACCTTACGGTTTCAAAACTGCTAAGCCTCTTTCTAGCCTCAAAAAGATTTTAAACCATATGAAAGAAGCGTATCCACTCTAATTCTTTGGTTTTGTGAAACATATTTTTACTCTATACCGACTGTTGCCTGATTGGCTAATATTTCTCAAGATCATTCAACCGGGTTTGTTGTGAGATAGTAACTCACTGATGACAAAGGTGGATGTATCGCTCAATTTTGTGGATTAGTTGAAGTTAGACATTAACACAGTTGGATACAGACTCACTAGTCTACTGGTTAAGTACTTGCGCACGAGACTGATAGGTCCTGGGTTCGAATCTCACGAGGCGGGATCGTGGATACGCATTGCTAAGGTGTCCCATATTAGGACAAAACGGCCATCCAGTGCTCCTAGTTTTTCCATGTTGTTCTAGTTTCTATTGACTTATCAATTCAATTATTAAAATTACTATAATATCCACAAAACCTCTTCTGACATTTAAGATTCGTTCAACGGTCGTCCATAAATTATAGTCTCACCATAAGCTTATAATTAATTAACAATAATTTGAGTGCAGAAAATGATAGGACAACTGTTGACATGTCAAGTGAAAATATGACATTCAGGGAATATTAAAATGGATCACATAAACTAAATATTGGTAAATAACTTTTCTCAATCTAGATTAAAGCTTTAACATGATAAGCTTACTAGTTTAATCTTATGGCTAGGAACTCGTCAGTTCGAAATGAGACTAATTGCTTTGGATAGAGAAACGAAAACGATTATATCAAGTGATTGGTTGACAAGCTTGAGAGAAAGAGAGAAGATAACTCAACTAGAACACTGTTCCACTTATTCCTGATTCATAATTTGATTTGATCCCGATTCAAATTCGTGCAAAAAAAATACATGAATAAGTAGATGATTTCAAAATTTGAGAAATTCCCATTTTCTAAATTAGAACAACATAGATATAAACGAACAATATTGTTTTCAATTACATCTTTACCAGGTTTTACCCTAATATGCAGTGGAATGAATTACATAACAAGATGAATGTTGTGAAATAGTTAATAGTATCAGAAGGGGTTTTGTGGAGATTGTAATAATT